ATTCGAGTTGGCATTACATCTAATCTCTTTTCTCTTTTTGAGATGCAAACCGTCGATACTCTTCGTGATCGTCTCTCTACGACTCGTCGCATCTCGAAAGTTCACATCCCATGAGAATCGGAACCCGAAAGGAGAAGGGTTTGGTGTGTTCAGAATGATACACTATCACACAAAATTCCTTCTTGGAGGAAAAAAAAAGATAGAGAAAGAGACACCTTTGGAGTGATTAATTATTTGCGGTTTTCGACGCAATTTTGTTTTTATCTTTTTTCCATCATCGTCATCATATAAGGGTTTCTTTGCACCTCTTGCCTTGAACCAGACGATTTGGCGCCTTCAAGTTACTAGCGAGAAAGAGAGGGATTAATAGAAACTCAGGGGAAACCATCAGGGTCATACCCTGGCAAAGTGGAAAATAGGAGAAATAAAAATACGAAATTTAGATTTTTGAAACAAGATTTTCAACCATTTTTATTATATTTTCAGAAAGCCATCAACGAGTGTGAAGGCGAGTATATGGACAATAAGAAGCTGATCGAGACCAAAAATCTTCGCCGTCAGATTCCAAAAGGGTTCAGTTATTTTGCTGTGGATTTCGGATTGTCAAACGGTTATGCTCATGTCATCGAAAGTCATGATCACTTCCCAGCAACGTTTGCCACGGTAAGCCATGGCCTAGAATTCTCAAACCGAAAACCTTGGTCATATGTTCTATTAGAATTAAACTCAGACGTTTAATTTGTCATTTCAGGAAATCATCGCCGGAATGTTGGATCTTCCCCCGAAAAAGTGGAGAAAACGCGAAACAGACGAGATGTCGAAACAAAAATCACGCGCTGAGAAATTCAAGCAGCTCTGGGAGCCGTTCGATTGGACAAAGAGGCTCAGAAGCCAGGAGGGACCATCCACGTCTTCTGGATCATCGACGTCATCAAGAAGAGAGTGATTGTATATTTATTTGACCTGTTCTTATTCTGATTGCTTTTTCTCACCTAAACATCTTCCCCCATTCCTTCTCGTTTTCTCATAATCTGTCATTTTATTCCAAACCCTTATTTACACAAAAAAAAGTTCAGAAAGTAATCGAATGTCCATTGACTGTCACCGTCTCCCCCTCGAATCCTTTGACAGTCGTACGGCCCAATTTCTCAAAATGAGCACGCAACTCGTTTTGTTTCGGAAGCAAATCGGCAATCTTCGGATCGTTGAGGAAATTCATCAGATCGTGTTCGGCTTCAGCCTTGTCGCACTGCAAAAATGCCACGTGGCCTAGGTTTCCGAGTGTGGGTTCCTTGGACTAACCAACTCCAACATCTTCTCGACATATATCGCTTTGGCATTAGCCTTCTCCAACTGACCCAACTCGTTCCACGCATTCCATTTGAGTCGTTCCTCGATTTTGAAGAAATACGGTTGTGCCGTGTTACATGGACCAACTGTTGCCTGCTTATACAAACAGTACATGAGCAATTGATCAGTTACGGTGGTTTTGATGGGTCCTAGAATAAAAGAGGAAAAAAACTAAAAAATTAGAGTCAATACCATCTTTCGGCAGTGCCTGAATAATCCAGACAGCCGATTCGAACTTCTCGTCAAGTGTTTTTCCCATTTTAATTGCTCACTGGAGCTATGTTTTGGCCGCTTTCGGCTCCAACTATGAAGACGCCGCTGTCGCTACGTGGGAGAATCATGTGACGTGGATGACCAAGAACAGTGGGTCACTAGAGAGAAGTACAGAAAAATAAGACACAAGTTCTATAAAACAAAAACATTTTTCATCAATTGAGAAAACATCAAAAGCTCCGAATATCCTATAGCGAGTTAATAGAACACTCTACAACAACAAAAATACTATTTGGATAGGTGGACGGTGGCTACCAGATCTCTAGTTACAATCACTAAACCATAAAGAATGATTGGCGAGACGGTGGTGTTGGTGTTTTGATCAGAATCGTCGTAGCGGTGTCTCCGTTTGTCGAACTGTTTTTCTGGAAGAATTTGAAGTTCACTTGAATTCACATTGATTACTTACTCAATTCTCTGTGCAATTCTCTCTTCTTGTGTGGCTCCGTATAGTTCGATCTGATAGTAGTTATGATTGAGATGTTTCGGTTGAGATGGTAGCTCTGGGAAATTTCGATAAACAACTGGAAATCTGATTAGCAACTCACGAGGAATATTATCAGGCCTTTTCGGATATCTTTGTCCAAAACGTCCCGACGGTGATGAGGAGATGTGCTGGAAAGGAGCGAATCCAGGAGCAACCGTCGCGGGTAACTTCGCCGGATTGGTTGAATGAGTGCAGGGAATAGCGCCTAGGGGATTGTAATTGAAGCGGAAATTCGGTGTGATTTTTCCGTTGTACGCAGTTTCGAGATTGAAATGATGTTTAGCTGGTACTTCAGGTGGAGGTGACGTATCACGGTCATTTCGATTCAGAAGATTCAATCGAGAAGATTCGAAACGACGTGGGGATTGGAATGCAAGAACACGTTCATGCTCTACGAGTTTTGTCGGCGTTGGTCCGAAACGAGTAGTGTGAGTTGGATTTCTGTTGAGTGACTGGAAAAAGAAATAATTGTCATTGGTTCTCCTCAATATATATTCACCGGTTTCTGAAAGTTGTTGTTTTTGTAGGCGTCAGCGATCACAGCAGAGGTGGTGGAGTTAGGGAAAATTTGCGTTGATGGTCCTGTGGGCGAGACACCGTCTTCAAAATCCTAAAAATTTTGAGGTTGTTGCTAAAGGAAAAAACATTCTATCACTAACAGCACTGCAAAGCCTTCCGAAGCAATCTCCTCGTCCTCTTTTACGTATATTCTGACAAGAAGTCCCAAGCACTTTACTTTGGTTTGACGTTGTCTCCTGATGCTCCCCTCTTTCACTTTTCAACTGCTCTTCTTCTGCAATTTGGAAATTAAGGTCCATTTGCTGCCATACTCTCCCCGCACCGAATGCGATTCTTCTGCCAGTCATCACTCTCCGATCGATCGTCTTGTTGTAATGCTGCCAACGTTCAACGAGTCCCTTCAACATAAACGTGTTTGTGAGTCTCGGGCGGCTGATGCACTGCAATGAGTACCGTCGCCGATAATTTCTCTCATACTGTAAGTTCCACAACATTCCTCACCTGATCAACTGAAATATCTGGCACTTCAGCGAATCTCCGTGCTCCTGCTGGTACTTGAGTCGAGTTGAATCTATCGAGATGACCTGAAAAAGTTTTTTATTTCGACCAGAAAAAACACAATTCTCACCATCGTCGTCATCCAGATTAGCTTCCAGCTCGCCGATAAATTCTGCGTCGGTGAAGTATTTCTGAAAATTGTCGATTTTTTAACACGAATTTTCTCTTCACTCGATTTTTTGATTTTCAGCTTTACCTGATCCTGATGTAAGTTATGCATTTGGCCTCGTCTTGTCTGAAATCGGAAAACACATTTTATTTAAATAAAATTAAAATCCTACGTTTGTCATCCCTGTAATCCTTCGGAAACAGCAATGATTCCAAGAATTCGTTGCTCTTTTTCCTGTAAAATAGACAGAAAATTTAAAATTGAGACAAAAACCGAAAAATACGGTAAGACTCAATGAAAACTGGCTAAAAATTATGTTTCAAATGAAATGAAAACTCGCGCCTCTACAGTAACCCGACAATGAGACTTCGCTGCGAGACCCAATACATTTTTCTAAAAGTTTTCCTTTAATTTTGCAATGTTTTTGTTCCAGCTTTCTAAAAATGTGTCTTGTTTGAAACTTTTTCAAAATTCAGATTACCATTATTTTTTCCGTACTTTTTCTCGATTTCTACAGATTTCGCACACTTCTTAGCATTTTTTTAATCCCAATAAATTATCTGTTTCATAACATAATATTTTTGCCGACAAAGTGTATACCCGATTTATAGGACACTGTGTAATAAATTTCAGGAACGCTTTGGCTCGCGCATTGTGTGGTAATAAACAACAAAATCGGCCGAAAGCACATGTTTTTGTATTGATTTTACACGAATTTTCATGGAAACATTTGCACAGGAATGAGAGCTATATTTCCAAATTTCCTTCGAGGATTTTAACTCTGCTTTGCACTTTCTAACATTTTTTCTTTGGAAAGTTAGCACTTTTTTTGCTAATTCCTCGCCTTGACCAAATAGGCTCCGCCCCTTTCCCCAATCTCCTCTTCCTCTTCTCTTCTTTCCCCCTAACTAATATTCAAAATGTTCCCGAAAATTCTCAATTTTTTTAGACGTTCTCCAGATTCTTCCAGAAGAATCGTTGGAATAACGGTTTGGAAAATGTCAGATTCCGGACGGTTAGAGCCGCAAAATCCCGATGTTAGGTAGGAAAACATTGGTTGTGCTTCTAAAGTCAGTGTGATTTGTAGCACAGAGAGCAGCTCGGAATCGACGACGGTGAATCCCGAAGAGGAGAAGCTGGTGAATCTGGTAAGTATAGAATCAGGCTACACGTATTTTCAGATTTATTTCAGGCCCACGCCGCGAAGAAAAATCTTGATGAATACTACAAAAAGCAAAATGAGATACTGGATCACTATAAACACGACAGTGAACAAATAGAAGCAGCTCGGCGGAAACGTCGTCAAAGTGCAAAATCATCTGAATCTGAGTCTTCTGATGGAAATGCGCCTGAGTTGGAACGGAAAGCCTCGACGATCTCCATGAAATCTGCGGACTCTCTATTAAAAAGAGCAGAGCATTCAGAAATGAAGGAGAAAGAGTTGGCTAAAGCAGCCGCCAGATTGGCCAATGTCACATTGCTTGTGAATTTGTGTAAGTTTAAAGTTGATTTATACTGTAACTTAATCTAAATTTTCAGTGCTAATGCTTGCAAAAATGACAGCTTCATATCTATCCGGATCTATGTCGATCATCTCCTCGATGGTTGATTCGATTGTCGATCTAACTTCCGGAGCAGTCTTATCCATTTCCTCCCGCATGATTCGCGTTCGTGACCCATATCAATATCCACGTGGACGTACTCGCGTTGAGCCACTTTCCTTAATTCTCATCAGTGTCATCATGGGAATGGCCAGTGTCCAATTGATCATCTCCTCGGTTACCAGGATTCATGCTGCTGGTTAGTGAAAGGAATTCATTTTTTCAAGTTTTTTTTTGAAACATAATAGTGACTCTGTTAGTGTTTGATCTGTAATCTCTACAGTGATCCAGATAAAAATCTGATCAGTAACTCGAGAGTACCAACCTTCCCCCCGAGAAGATTATATTTCGCAATACTTGACAGAAGCTGCCCTACGGAGCTTTTGTGCACATGTCCGCGTACAAAAATCACATGATACGGGAGTGAGAATCAAAACATAGCTATGCTACGACAGAAGCTAAAGTAATCTCTAATTCAAGTACACAAACTAAAATTGAAGGGCCTTAATATTTTAAATTAAAACTACAGTATCCTTCAAAACGGAACTTACATCGATTACTGTATTGAGAAGTACTGTAGTACTAGAAAACGTACTGTAACTGATTGAGATATCTTTGCAGCTGCTGATGGTGAAAAGGATGAGATCAATGTTAGCTGGCCGACTATTGGAATCATGGGGTCCACCATTATCGTCAAGCTCACCCTCTATCTAATATGTCAGAAGTAAGTGGGTTACAGTAATCCACAATTTTAATATTACAATTTCAGATACAAATCCAACTCATCAATCAAAGTTCTATCTCTGGATCATCGTAACGATTGTATCTCAATCACAATGGCTCTTGCATGTGCCTGGTTAGCCTACTACTATGGTATTCGTACTGATCAACCAACTTCTGGAGTGTCATTTTTTGGAATGTGCCCCAAAGAAGGATGCGATTTGTACTATCTGGATCCCATTGGAGCAATCATCGTCTCATTTTACATTCTCTACACGTGGATTCGTACGGGATATGCGCATTTTGTGATGCTTAGTGGAAAATCAGCACATCCGGAACTTATCAATCGAATCATTCATCAGTGTATTGAGCACGATCCACGGATTTCTCACATTGACACCGTCTATGTCTATCACTACGGAACCAAGTTTCTTGTCGAGGTAAGGATCTTCAAAATATTGAAAATCCTAAAAAAAAGTCTCAAGATTGAATTCCAAGATTTTAGAACTTTAGAATTTTCAGAATTCGCAATTTGCTGAAATTCTTTTTCCAGGTACACATAGTCCTCGATCAAAACATGTCCCTCAAAGTGACTCATGATATCGCGGAATCACTTCAAACTGGAATTGAAGCAATGTCGGAAATTGAAAGAGCATTCGTTCATTGTGATTACGAGTTCGAGCATCATCCTCATGACGAACACAAAGCTGTTTAGAGATTATTCAATTTTTGTATTCTGAAACATAATATTCCTTCGTCCACCAATTCATTCATTTTTATTTGCTTCCCAAGAATCACATTTTTCACTCCAATTGCGTTTTTTTTATCTCCCAAATCAAACTTCCTGTTGTTTTCTCTGTTTTTTCCAAACTTCCATTCTCATCTCACATCTCAATCAGATCTTCATCTCATTCAATTTTCAATATATCTACAATTTTAGTCAATCTCATAAGAAATAAAGTTAATGGGTCCGAAAATTTTGAAATTTCAGAAGTCTAATTGTAAGAATCAAGAGTGAAAACTTCATTCAAACATTAAAATTACGAAAGATTAGCAAATGTTCAAATTTTCAAATAATCACTGGAACATTCCACATTAACATTTCAATCCATAGCAATCATAGGCGAAACCGATTCTCTCCAACTCGCACTGCATCCATCCGACATATGGATTACATTCCTGAGTGAAGAAGTCTCCAATGCATCCGATGAATGATTCAGTCGCATCACAGAACTTGTTTGGATTCGCGTTGACGGTGGCGTTGAATTTGTAGAAACACGCGCGGTACTGATTTCCGTCGGTGGTTTCTCCCTTTCGAATACAGTCGATGTTACTTTGATAGACTGCAAATTTGCTCTGTTGAGAATATATTTTGAAAATTATCGATCCCGCTCCATTGAAAATTTTATTGTCGAATTAAGAAAAAAATGACACCTGAACCCTTTCTCGGAATGGAGTGTCAATATTTCAGGCGTTCTCATACGGCAATTTTTGCACTGCCCTTTAACTTTTAGCTTTGAGATCAATTATCTAGGTTCCCATCAGAGATATAAAAAGTTTTTCAACTGATAAATTGTTTATCATGACACGAAGAACATTTTATTTAAGATAATTGAGCTCAAACTTGGCAGTGTGGAGCTCTTCTATTGTAGGTTTTACGGAAAGTTCGGTTGTTTGGTAGAAAAAAAGATTCTAGAGATGCTAGGGGTCATATTGATACTAAAAGGTCTAAATTCTCTTCAGCAAATCTCACTTACAATAGTTTACAAAAATTAATTCCGCTGTGTACTGTATCGTTTTTGGTGCCGGCCTCGCAAATCGACATGAACGCCGCCCGCGAGATTCTCAGGGACCAGTTTTTTCAATTCGACAATATTCGATAATATGTTCAACAATACGAAAATTTTAGTTTTGGTAGAGAATTCAGGAGTTCATCTGAGTATTTTTGGGGATTCATTTGAGTATTTCCCTATTTAAATGAAAATCCGAGGTAATACAAATCCCTTACCATCAAAACCAGTACTGCAAATGAATTCGAGATGTTTCATGAGATGTGTGTATTGCATTACGTTCCACCAATTGGTATTTCCAAGAGATATCAAATAGAAACGATCGATGCATGTGTCGTAGGTGAAGCCAAGAGTCTGGACGAACAATTGACGGGCACTGGAAACATCGAAATGCTGTCAGTTTACACACATCGGGAGTATTGATGTTGGAGCATCTCAATGGAAAAGAAAATCAAAAACTTACGCGCACACAGAAGCCAACTGATCGATTCCTTGATCGATCATTGAGATGGTAGCGTTAGTCAAAACGTCGGCATTGCGCCAAGTGGTGGTTGATGGAAGACCAACAGCACTGGCAAATCCAGCCTAAACCATATCAAATTAGAGTGATCTGGGCTTTCTAGAGCACCAAGGACTTTTCAATGTTCAGAAGTTCCTGGTGGTCTTAAATGACTTATTCCCTGATCCATCACTAATACCTGATTATGTTTCAGTTTATCAAAACATTTTCGATGTTAAATTACAAAATAGGAATTTGTGAAAAATGTCTTTAATAATTTTCTTAAAAGATTAATCTAGCTTTATCAAAAGCATTGGAATTTCAAGATACCCTAAATACTATAATAGGGTGGCCCCCCAAACCATCAACTTTTAGCTCACATATATATATAAAGGTGGTTACCAGACAAAATGTTGATTATAATATCGAAATAATTTGTCAGCTGACTACTTTTGATATCTTCTACAGAAACTGAGATATATGGACTCACCACTAATAGCTTGGGGGGAGGGTATTCAATTAGAGTGTTTACGGTAGTGAAAAAGCATTGTAAACTGAGCATTACCTGAGCAGAGGCAAATGGAACACTATTGCAAGTTCCCAATGCTAGGTCCTTGTTTCCAGTGGAGAAGTATGTTTTAATTTGAGACTCGGTGAGCATATAATCTCCGATTGACGGAAGAAGGGGGTTGAACAGTCCGGAGATAAGGACCACGCACGACAGTCCAATGAGAAAACGGAACATGGCTGGAATGTGATAAAAATACAGTTTAGAACTGATATTTTTGGTATTGCAAAGATACACACTGAACAGATTCCTTATGTAAAGTACCGTAACTAAAACGCATGGGTTATTACTAAAAGTAACCAGTTCTGAGACAAACTTAAAAATTTAAGAAAATTCTGGTTTTTGTTTGCATTAAAAATCAAAAGGCAGAATTTGGTGACGTGGAAAAGGAATAGGCGGTGGCTGTGTCTTCGGTGATAAGAAGAACGAGGATGATAGTGAGTGCCACATTTCGCGACGATGGCCAAAGGCAGGCAGTAAAAAAGCTGCGTACACATTAGAAATACTGGCATTTATTAGTTTTCACACCATTTTTAGTGCAGACACAGGTTATACAAGGTTGAGATGTGAAGTATGAAAGTTTACAAGGGTAAATGTAATTTTAAAAAATGTATTTTAAAATTCAGGTATATATGTCGATCCGGAACAATGAGTCTGGATCCGAGAACGGCATCAGTTTGAGACATTTCGACTACGAGTTATTTCACTTCTTAAAAGGACCGTACAAGATTTCAAAACCACTTATTCATTTTTAACGACATATTTAAATCATCTTGAATCCTTACAAAATTTGATGAAAGTTCTGAAATTATACTCCAGATCTGCGACACCAATTGTTTTCATGGTAGATCAAAGTCAAATTGCAGTTCGTAATTCTTGTTTGGGTGAACGTGTGCTGTGAATCTTCTTTCATGATTAGACGAGGTGTGCTTATGAGGAACAATCTGAAGATATCTATCGTTGTCAAAGGATTCAAATAGCCAGAACCGTCATAAGGATATTAATTTCATACTTCCTTTTTTTCTTCTTCTCTCCTATTTTTTCTACAGCTTTCAAAAAAAAACAATCAATCACATAATTTTTTCTTTTTCTGACTCATTCTTCTTTCTAAAAAGAGAAACGAATATGAGTCAGCGCATCCCAGCATGTTCCTCCGTCTTATTGCTCATTCTTATTATAGAAACCATACACAATGGGAAAATGCTTTCAGAATAGGACGCTTCCCACAGTATGCCGTTCAAAAAAAAAAACTCAAGATTCGTGATTTTAATGTGTAGGAAGGATTCATTTTGATGTGATTTTCCGAGGGCTTGCTGAAAAATTCAAAATTCGATTTAAAAACAAAAGTTGTAAAAAAAGTATTTTTATTTTATCGATTTTCATTAGTTTGTCACTGATTCTTCTTATCTTTAGTTTGTTAGTCATATTCTCTGAAATTGATAGTCTTCTTTTCTTGCACAATTTTGAAAAGTTGCACATTTGTTCAGTGTATCAATTTTATTTTTTATGTACAAATTCTGAATCACCTGTTTCATAAAAAATGATATCGAAACATTATAAAAACAGATGGAGATGTTTGGTGTTGGTCAGTAATGATTACTGTATCCAAATGCTTTGAATTTTAGGGGGGAAAAAAACTAAAACTGGTTTTCTGAGTTTCCAGGATTAACTGGGAACTCTGAAAAAGTATGACTAGCTTTGTTTCTTGCTATTCCGTATAATTTTTATCCAACAGCAGTGTTGTTTTTTACTTTTTCTCACGATAGAGCGATTTTTCTTTTACTCAGATTTTGAAATTCGATTTATCCAAAGACAACCATCATTGATTCAACTGAATCTGCATATTTTCCCACAATTTCCCCTAGTTATTTTTCTTTTCCCTCTCTCTCTCTCACGTAACATACGGGTATTGGGAGGGTTCAGGTTCTACCGCCCCAAGTGAACATAAATGCAAACAATCATCACGTTCTCTTCGAATGTCTCCTCCCTGAGCAACACTTCTCTCTCTCTCTCTCTCTCTCTCTCTCTCTCTCTCTCTCTCTCTCTCTCTCTCTCTATCTCTCTCTCTCTCTCTTTATGTCATTTATGTATACCAGCTATCACTCTTCTCGAAATCACATAAACACTTTTTTTGGAAAAAATCGCTGATAAGAAAAACATAAGTTGTGGTTTGGATGGTTTCTCTTGTTTTTTGTTATAAATGATCAGTTAGCTTCATTTCACTTAATGGATCAAATGTTTTATATGTGGCTGAAAATTATAATGTGGGCGGAGTTGAACTCTGGCAACGATAGTCCTCAAAGGTGCATTCATTTATAAGATTTACAAAAAACTACTGTCGAAAAATGGAGCCAAATCAATTTTTCATTAATCGTATGAATACATGCGCCTTTAAGAATTCTCACTGTCCGAGTTGAGCTCAGCACACATTGGAGTTTTTGCCATTGAGTTTATACCAGAGTAATAGCTTTTCTTCTATAATATTTTGATTTTTGTGCGCACGACTACTTATCAGGTAGTCGTTTTCAAAACCGATTCCAGAGTATTAAAAAATTAATAACTTCCAAAAATAGAAGATTCTAAATCGGGTGCTAGTCGGTGCTTAATACTGGTGATAAAATTATTTTAGTCAATTCTCTGAAAATTTGCCTCGTGTCTATTTTTGTGTCTATATAAGAAATCGACGGTACCAAGATAGAAACTGATATTTCCAGCTTATCAGTGACAAAAATTCTTGTGATGCTGGTTGAAAGACGCTTTTCCTTTCGGGCGATTTTTTTCAGTTTGGTCACAAGATGTTTTTGGTGTTAGATTTTTCTAGTATGTTAGCTTTTGATGGATATATCATCAGATCTTCAAGATGAATTTTGAAATTTACTCAAAAGGAACCCATAGTTTTATTCACAATCCGTGTACCCTAAAACCTGTATTAGAAGGGCGGTTTTTTCTATTTTGTCAGGGGGTCTTTCTATTACAGAGGTCTATCTGTTTTTTCAAAAACCCTGCTCGGAGTGCCTTTCTATGAGAGGGGTTTTTTGTTAAAGAGACCCTTCTAATAATGGTTTAGCGGTATTCTTAGTTTTCAGATATCCGTGGTTAAATCCTGGAATTTCATAAGTTTAAATCCCTAGGCTTTCCAACATTTCAAACTGAAAGTTTCCAATTCGTCATTCTCCCGAAAACTATCTCAAAATTTACGACATCGGTAGCGGAGAACCAGTGATAAAAATCTGCTTCTCGCTTCTCTTTTTCCACCAAAAAAGCCATAAAAATATTGTTGATATATTTGTATGCAATCACTCAATATAATTGGTTTCATTTTCCTTTTTTCCGGTTCTCCGGGCGAGATCAGAACTTTCAAATTTTAAAAATTCCAAAAAAAGTTCCTCTGAAATTATAAACTCCTCCATTTTTAGACTCTTACTCATAACTTACTCTCAACTTATTTCCCCGCATATTTTGACTCATCATTTTTCCATTTTCTGACCATTCTTGCTCTTCTGATTCATCAATACTTCCACCCCTTTTTCTTCCCACCTTTCCCACCATATTGTAATCAAAAATGCTCTTACCTCCCATTTTGATTTTTTTTTCCGATTTCCTTTTTCATTTTCCCCTCATAAGACAGTATTATTTGCGAATTATCAACACACTATCAGACTGTTTTTATGTTCTTGTGTGTGCTCACAAGGGTGGGGAGGAAAGAAGGGGTTTTAAGAATTTTTAGGTAAGTATCAGTGTGACGTATTATTCTGATATATAATTTTTGTAATTTGACTCAATCTGGTTTTGAGAGATCGAACCTTAATCATAGATAGAAAGGAAGAAAGGATATCGAAAAATCAAAAGTCTCTCTTCTTACCACCATGGAAGTAGCGGGTCTTGCCAAGACTGTCGAAAACAGGGCCGCGGGTAGGTTGTAGTGGACCAAACTGTCTGTTCTGTCGGAAATAAGCTCAGCCACCAAGAAACTTTTAGGTCCGCGAGACCGGCGAATCCTACCTATTACAAAAGTACCCGAACTTGTTTTCGACAGCCTTTTCCACTCCCAAAGTTCTGAAAAGGCGGCGCAGGGAGTAAAAAAGGAAAGTAGAGAAAATCAGTGGTTTCTGAACCCCTCTCTGAATCGAATTCAGGTTCTTCAAATTTTCAAAATTCTTTGATTTCTCAATAGAATAGTTATCTGTTCCTCAACTTTCAATATGTAATTATTCCTGTTTCCTACAAATTTTACATATTTTTGCCCAATGGAAGAGACCAAACACCCCAAAAATAAATAAATACAATGCATTCTTTTTTTCATATTTTTTCATGTGTGTACTTTTTTCTTCTTCCTGCCATCGTTTTTTCTGTGTGTTTCTGTTTGTTTGATTAGCCTTTTTTCTTTCCCTTACAATCCAGCCTTCTATTTTTTCGTCATTTTCTCTATTTTGACTACATGTGACTTTTGAAAATCCGTAAACTAGAAAACAGAATATTCCAGAATTTTAGATGCCTTTAGCTTTAAAGTTTACCCAGACCTAAAATATGTTATCACTAATGATTACGTTATGCACAAACGTAATAAGTGATTTTCCAAACACACAAACTATATTGTCCTATTTGTACAAATAGGGGTCTAGATCTAAAATTTTGAAAATGAGGGAAAATGAAGCGAATAGAAAGAGAGAGAGAGAGAGAGAGAGAGAGAGAGAGAGAGAGAGAGAAAGAGAGAAGTGTTGCTCAGGGAGGAGAAATTCGAAGAGAACGTGATGATTGTTTGCATTTATGTTCACTTGGGGCGGTAGAACCTGAACCCTCCCAATACCCGTATGTTATGTATTATAATATTACTTGTTGCGTAAAATGTTTGTATGTTTCTATTATGTTTACATATCTATTGATTTTCGAAGCTTAAGCTTGAAGATGTTTCAGAACCATTTGTGATTTCAAGTTTCTCAAAAATGTGATTTTCAAATTTTCTTTCATAACTTCACAAGCTCTGCTCTTTGAAAATATAAAAATAGCATACTGTGACTAACTCAAAAAAGAAGTTGAATAGCATACTTTCTATGATTCACCGACCTATATTTTTACCACTTTTGTATATTTATACCTTCAACTCCTCCATTTTTCTCCCTTCTCTTGATGAGTTAATTTTCAACTTAATATTTCTTTTAATTTTTTTCAATTCATTTTATACACATTTTCTAAAATTTTCAGTCTGTTAATTTTTCTTATCAATAGCGGTGTAGTGTTATGATCGTTCAAGGTAGTGTTATTGTTATTGCATTTTAATTCAAGTTTGAATTCATTTGCTCTCAAAAAAATCGTCCTGTTTTTCATTAATTCTTGACAGCTTCCCTCTATTGTACAAAATTAATAGTAACCTAACTCAGTTCAACTAAAAGTAGCAACTTAGCTTCTTTGATTGAGAACATTTTTCTAAAAAGTTCCTTGTTTGAAAAATACCTCCAAAAATTCAAACTTCCTTCTATTGTAACCCAATGCCAGGCAAAAAACGTGACACTGAAAATATACATAGAGACAGGCCAAGACACACAAACAAACAAAACCACCCATCTGACTTTTTTCAGGTATACTCGGTTTTCCCAATATTTTTGACATTTTCTGAACTTCTACAACTATCTATAGAATTTTCCTAGAAATCGTTTTATCCTAAATATGTATTTGAAGCGCTTGAATTTTCTGGTATCATAACTCCCGGAGAATTCAGGGTATAAACATTCAAAGGAGACTCCAACAACATTTGCTTGATTTTTGTTCAAGTTGAGCTCTTAGAAGGAAACGAAGTACTCTTGAAAAGCCGATCGACCGGAAATTGGCGGAAAATGGACATAATGGTCATTGAGAAAAGGTGTAAATTGATAAGGAAATTGGTGATTCGAAAGTTTAAGTTTTGAAACAATGCACAGATATTGCCAACTTTAAAAATCTACTCTCAATTTAGTCTAACCTGAACCTTTCAGTCTGTTAGTTTTAAAAGTAAAATTTTGTTACTCGAGTACAATTTTGTAAAGATATCTAATTTAATGTTCAAAAAAAGCAAAGTGCTCAAGATAAAGTCTATGAAGTTCCTTTTTTTAACCTGGTGTGTTGTTCATTTTTCTCATGACTCTTCCTTCCCCATGTTTTGTTCATTCCTTTGCCTTTAAAACTTTCCAATATTGACTCAGTCAATCCTCCTCCTCCTCCAAAATTTTCTGTATTTTTCTCTCTACCGTCTTCCCCTCTCCTTTCTCATTTTCTTCTCTTTTCCTTTTTCCCGATTCTTTTCCCGACTTGCTGCTCTCTGTTGCATGACGGAGTAGAGAAATAAGAATTTTCTAATTATTATCATTTTAAAGGAAAAAAGAAGATCAAAGTGACTAATCGAACATGTCGTACAACCACAATCAGTACAACTACCAGGTATTTTTTTAATGAAAAATTATGATGGGACCGGGAAATTTGAATTCCCGCTAAAATTTTATTGGAGATCAAAAACATCCCTGTAATGCTGTGTAAAATTTTGGTGGAAAATCTCAATAATGTTGTTTCTCAGGTTGTGACCTAAAAAGTCCGATTTCGATTTTCTACACCACCTAGGAAAATTTTTGCCATATCTGACTTTGTATTGGAAAATTTCTAAACATATCATTTTACAGGTATTTGTTCTAAAATTGAAAAGTTTTTTCTTGAAAATCGAAACTTTGAATTTTAATTGTTTTCGATTTATCTGACAATTTTTAAATCTTTTAACATCATGAACTTTAACTTCTAACCTCTTAAAATATGTGAATCTTATCAATTTTTCGCATCATGTCATTTTTTGAGATTTTTCAAAAAAAATGATTCGATAGGGAAAACTATTTCATGACATAAATAATATCAAATACATCTCTAGAGGTTCTCAACAAAATGTTGTAACGAGTTTTGACACTTCTCTATTAACTAGGCCACCAACTCCAGAACTCCCATACTAGGTAACCCTATCCGATTTCCATTTTCGGAAATTTAGTCCTCCCCCATTCTCTTCTCCCAAAAGTCAAGGTGTCCAAACATTGGACCCTCTCTCTTGCTGGAACATTCAGACCGAAAAATTATTTTATTCTCGAAATTTCTAAAAATTCTCAAAATTTTCTAAATGAACGTTCGACGCCATCCATCGTACACTTTTGATGAACCGTTTGCTGGAAACGGACCACAGGTATAAGGCGGTGGTAAACTGTAGAAAACATGAGCATTTTTTGCGCTAAAATGTTATGCTTCTAATTTCCAGATTGCTGTGGTCTTTGCTATCGTCATCGGAGGTGTCATTTTGTTGGCTGGTGTCGTTTATGCCATCTATATCGTTGTTGTCAAAAGTGTAAGTTTATTTTGGCAAATTCGCTCTATGGAAGTTTTGGCTTAAATGTGTAACTTGACTTTTTCGGGCCTGAGAGCATCTTAAAACCTTATTTGAAAAATGCAGGGGTCGAACCTTCAATATCATGGAAAAAACCTAATGGCAAAATCGGAAGGTAGCAATTGCTTGCCGAACTCTTTGAAATCTTCAAATACAAACTTCTGAAACATTTTTTCATATGCCCCTATTTTCCAATCTATACGATTTTTGTATGCATTTTGTGTTTCCGTTTCCACCTTCTTCTTCTTCTTGCGGGAAAGAAGGATGGGCGGCTCAGAGAAGAAGAATTTCGTATGTGCTTTTGAGAAGACGGAAAGAAAAAGACGAAAGGAATCATCCATATGTACATGTAATATTTGTATTTGCATGAGAACGGAACAGAACTCATATTGAGAGAGAGAGTACAGTATGATGTCTAGACGCAGACAGAAACAGAAGCATTTGACAAATAAACCCGAAGGAAGGTCAAGCTCTTTCTGTGTAGACAAAGCGGGAAACTTGAATTGCGACTTTCTGACTAATTTGAGGGGACAAAATTATGAAAAAGGATAGAAAATAGAAAAAAAAAAACTAAAGAATTTACCAGCAATAGGGGTTGGCCCGGGAAGTGAACTGGTTGCATTACCGAATAGTCATTTTGAAAGATAACCTAATAGAACTTCCAATCTGAAGACAGAAAAGGGTCAAAAGATGGTTTATTTAAAGAAAATAATTAACGTTGATTTATATCTATTTTCCAGATGCGAGGAGACGACAAACAACGGTTGCATTCTGGTCGAAATCTGCGCAATGGACGCAGGCACCACAACAGTTCAAGTAAGCATTTCATAACTTCAAAGGCTCATATCTCAAAAACAAAAAGCTAAGAAACAAGGACGAATTAAAAAATGATGTGAAGCAAAACTAACAAATTTTAGGTTTCAATTCTGATGTGATTAAAAGATTTCGAAATGGAAATTGAAACTTTTCAGCCAACAACCAGCTTCTGAATTCGCCTACAACCCAGCTCCATCCCAAAGCTTTGAGTGAGTCGACCTACATTTATTGCTACTTGCTATAGCCAAAAAAACATTAGAGATGATGGCTTAAAAATCCGAGCCTTGAGGTTTCTATACTTCATATTTGAGTATTTCCAGTTACCCGGCCCAAATTCGTACTCCAGTGAATGCCACATCATACACACCAGTTCCATCTGTGACTCCATACAATCCACAACAATACTCGAATGTCCCATTGGCCACGCCCACAACCCAACAATACATTCAAGCTCAAGCCATTCCACAGTATGCTCCAGATGTGATTTACACCCAAGGACCACAAGGATACGTTCAACAGCAACCAATCGAATACAGTGTTCAACGTCAGTCGCCTGGCGCCAACTTTGTGCAGTCATCGGTTTGAGCGAAAAAATTTTCTTTTTCCAAAACAAAAAGTTCGGAAAAAATCCAAAAAGTTTATTTCCACTTTCGATGTTTGAAAATTTCCAGCTCATTTATCTCCCATTTCAGTACAATAACCTCTCTATCCTTTCCGATGCAAATGTAATCCAATGAAAAAATTCATTAGAGCACATTTGCATCATTTCTTAGGTCTTTTTACCCCGATTTTCTTTCTTATCTCCGCCATAAACCCCCAACAATGTTTTTCTTTATACTTTCTATTTTTCTTATCATCACCGAAATTTTAAATTTTCACACCTTTCTGCTATATTACGACCCTCTTTTATTAGCCCCGATTCTATTTGTTTATGCCATGCATTGACAAAAAATGTTCTTTTTTTGAAAAGGGACTTTTTGGCAAGCACGCCCTAATACAACTTTTTTCCAAAGCTTGATAGAGCGCGTTTGCCAAGAAGACTACCCGATTATACGACATGCAGTAAGAACAAAGATCTACGCATAATTTATTGTACTTTTTTTTTGAAAAAGTTTATCTACAAATTTGTTTTGTGATATTCTCTGCTCATCTTTTTTCGACTATTTTTAGTGTTTTTTTTAAAATTCAAATTGAAACAAATCTCATGTACTTATGCCTTTTCATGTTTCGAATACAAAATTTTTAAATACAAACTCAAAGAATCTGAAAGAGGCATTTGTCAGGCAATCGCGACCTCTCTGGCTTGACTAGAAACAAGATGCTCAACAATTTTTCGCAAGAATACAATTATACACTATTTTTAAAGCCACTCAAAGTTACCATGTCAACTGGAAAAAGTACAATTTTATATCTTGCTACACGGTATCAGATTGTACCGTAATCCTTTTGGACCATACGATCCACTTTCTCTCCTTCACCTCCGATGTCAAAACTTGATAAAGATGTAGAATGTTTCCCAGGAGCAAAGAAAAATAAGCAAAAAGGCAGTTAGTCGTCAATCAGCACATTGACTCAAAGATGTACTATGTGAAAATATACAAAACAGTTAATCCAAAACATACTGTAAAACCTGTATTAGAAGGGGCGACCATGCATGAAAATTTTCATAAATTTTTGTACTTTTCACCGTTATATGGCATTTGGTTTTGTTTTTCTAGGCTTTCAGGTGGAAAATCATGAAATATATTTCTGTTTAGTTTTAAGACATTGGCTGTACCAGATGTCCCGTTGGAAGAGAAACCGAAGAAAAATAGGTGAGTTGAGAGATGTTCAAGTAATAATGATGTCGGAAATCTTTTCAGTTATAAAAGACGAGAAGGGAAGTCGTCAAACCGTGGGGGATACTGAAGAAGAAAAAGATATTTTACGACCAGCAACGATGAATATTCCAAATTAAATATGTAAGTGGGCGAGATGTGAAAAACTGAATTATTTTGAAATGACAGTGTTCAAAAAAAATGTTCGAAAGGTTAATGTTAATCCCTATGTTTTACAGTTCCGCTGATCTTCGGTGAAAACGTGCCAGACAACTTCCGATGGATTTTCGGGAAGACAATTCGTCCAAAGAAATGTGAGTTTTCATCCAATTAGTTATGTAAATAATTTTTAAAGTTCTTTCAGAAACACCGTGCCAAGCCCAACGCCAATAAAGCTGGAGAAGAGGAGTAGGAAAGGTACTTTCATCGAAATTCGACATCTTCGAACAATCTTCTCTACAGATTTAAATGATCGTTTTTTCTTTTTTTTTTTTTTGTTACTCTTTTTTTGAATTTCTAATCGAATAAACTGTTAAATTTAAAGAAAATATTGAAATTAATTGAGCCAATTTTGGGGTAAGAATTTCAAATAATGGCACACATGAGCACGGATACGGCACGGCAACGGCACGCAAAATGCATGCGTGCCCCGACCCCCCGGGCACGATTACCGCGTTGCAGCGGCACCGGTGCCCCAAGTAGCGGCACATGTGCCAAAAATTTGCTGAGTAATCCATCAATTTCACCAGAATTAAGTAAGTTTTTTGAGCAAAACATTGTGTTGCAACAAATCTCGAAATTTCAAAATTTCCGGAATACTTTTCACTGAAAAAGTACAGAATTTTTTTATTTCAAACAACTCATTTTGAAGAGGGCCTCACTATTTTTTTCAAGCCCTTCTCGGAGGGCAATTCTAATACAGGTTTCACATTAGTTCTAACGAATTCGATTTCATTCTTTTTCATAATGTCGCAATCATAATTTAAAAAAACAAAAAACTTGGACCTCCTCTTTTGAGATCCATAAAAAGTGGATTCTCGAAGTCGTGTCATCTTTTATCAAACTACTGCTCGGGACTTTTTGCTTATCGTTATCTATTTCCAACAAAATTTGAATGTCTTGCAAAACTCATTATTCATGATCCTATGGATGTACTACTGTTATTCGTATTCCTGACCCATAACCCAAGATTTCAAAACTTTAGCCCGTTACATTGCTTCTGTCGCTTCCCGAAATGTCTACTACAAGGTCATAATCTTGAACGACCGTAATCTCAAAACGCATAGTAATCATAATTTGATTGTAAATCCATCACATTGACCATATTGTATCGTGATCATGTGCAGACACATTTCACACTTTTCCCAGGAGCACAATTTTCAGATAGCGAGAGAGTGTGTCACCTGAGGAGGCACACAGAGAAAATACAGGTGGACTATTTAGCCCCGCCCCTTTTGTCGATGAGTCCCTTCCGATTTCATTCTTAGGTACCCTCGATTGAGTTCTCTCGACTCAGTTTCTAATCGATTCCTTATTCTCTATTGCGAGAATGTGCGGTATCTCTGCCAAAGCCTCTTCCTCTACTGCCACAAATTCTTCTTCTCGGAAGTTTTCCCATCTCCCGGGCTTCAAATGGTCAAAGGAAGAAGAAGAGGAGCTTTGTATCTGGATGCGAATTCAAAGTCAGCAGAAGAGCTATCTGCCACTCACGGACCAAGAACAAAAGGAATTGGACAGCCGTACAGTCTTCGTCGGAAACATCGATGTCAACACTACGGCCCGTGAGATCGAACGGCATTTTGATGTTTGTGGGTCTGTCAAAGTTCGATTCGTCATCGACCGTAGTACTGGATTTCAGAAGAAGTGAGTTTATTTTTTTATAATTTTTCCATTGAAATTAATTGACCAAACTTTCAGCCATTGCTTCGTGGAGATCGAGAATGCCCTTTTCGTCGAGTTCGCTTTCGATTTGAATGGAACCACTCTCAACCATCGTTATATCACCGTCCGACCAAAAAAGTCTCAGAAGGCACAATCCGAAAACCAACCACCACTACGCCACGTGGCACCAGCAAGAGTCTACAACAACAACACCACGAGCCCATATCGCAAGGATAACCGCGGAGTTCTTCTCAATCGTCATCCACTGAATCAAGTCACCAGATTCATCCCTTATTGATTGCCTTACTGTATTTCTGTTATTTTTCATCTTTTAATACTTGTTCCATCTTTTCTCATAATAATTCTGTAACTTCAACTGTGCTATAACTTTTCTTTGTGTCATAATTCCTTCCATTTCTTGTCAAATGAAATAAATCCAGTTTTTTTTCTGAACTCTTTTTTTTATTAGGGAAAAACCATTTTCAAAGAATTCGTAGGGAAAAAATTGGGATAAAACAATCAAAGACCAGTACATAATAATCATGCGCTAATTTATTAGGGAACTCTCTGGAAATCATATTCGCTCTATTTATAGCTAACTGTACAAAAAAGATGATAAAAAGCCAGTAAAAGAATAAAATAAAACCATAATGATTAGAAACCATAATGGTTAGAAATCATTGAAATTTTTGGGTTTCTGACTGATTGGAGTGTTGAAATGAGCAATTTTGGGTGAAGGGGGAGAACAGGCACCAGACAAGGTATCGTCTGCTTCTTCAAAAAATTCCCGTTTTCTATTGTTATTGTTCAATTTATCGATTTGACGATCTAGCTGCTCAACCATTTCAAACATTGATTCGCGTAGGTCTTCGTTTCGAAGATTCTGGAATTAAGATTTTAGGCTATTCAAACTTCCAGAAAAAAAAACCACTAACCAGGACAGCTTCATTGAACGCTTCTTTATATTTTTTGTAAATCGTCTCAATAGTAAAAGTCTCTTGTAGAATTTTGTCGAAATACAGAAGAATCTCGTTTTTCACGATTTCCATTCGAAATCCGTCTACTGTTTTATAGGTGTCTTTTCGGAGAATACTGGAAGAGAAAATTTATTTTCAATTTCTTTTTTAAAAATTTTGGTATCCAAGAAAGCCTAGAAATTTCTTCAGCTTCTCCTTACTTTAAAACTTTTTGTAACGTAGTTAGAACCGCCTCGAATCTTGTGCCTTGATATCTTTTCAGCACCACAAATTTCGATTCCTCCTCATCTTCTCCCAACGTCTCCTGATTCCATTTTTTGATTCGTCTCGAAATGCCACGTTGTTGTTCCCAGATCTCCAGAGCTGATGGCTGATCCACGTGGAATGTTGCCCAGTACCGATTGTCATGAACCGAGGACTCATCTGGCATGTAACCGTAGCGTTTGATAGTGATTTCAAGGCCGTGCAGATCAAATCTGAATAAGATTTCTCTAATTTTTGGTACAAACAGTTTTTCAATAGAACATCTTATGGCAAGCAATTTTTAGAATTCGTTTTCTAGCTTGTAGTCAAATTTTCCAAGTTATCCCCTCATTGCTCATCACTAATTACCCTATTTCCTTGAAAAAGTCTCGAATGGCCACGGCCACGCGTTGCTCAGTGGCTCGTCCTGTCAGTTCGTCACCCGGAATTCTCAAGTTTTCCACCATAAATTTTCGTTCGGGCAGTTTTGCCATCTGTTTTTGTAACAATAGGTTTTCAGTAGAAGAGATAAGACAGAGACTCCATTAAATATTGCTCCAGAGTATTCAGGCACTGGTTTCTTCTTTGTTGAAGTTTCAGTTTCTACGAGTTTTCTACACAATTTTTCATGTAAAAAATGGAGAAGGAGATATACAATTGTTAAAGAAAAATGAATAAAATGGGGGGCGGAGTCTAGGATTGAAGATTTTCAGAAAAAAAAACATTCTTGAAAAACTCAATAATGTGAAATCTATCCTTTTCTAAAAAAAGGGACACGGAATACAAAATTCGGGCATACATATATCAAGTATACATAATAAGGCAATTGGCTAAGGGTGACCTAGTTTTCCAAACTACTAGGCCACCAAAAAGCAGTTGTTTAGAAAGAGAGAAATTTTTTGGGACCGTAATATTTTTTTGTTGATTTTTCACATGTTTTCAGAGAGGTTGATGAGGGAAAAAGGCAATTGTAAAAGTGATTATACGAAATTTAAAAAAAGTGAGTGAAATTCTAGAAAAAATAGAACCAGCCAGTGGTCAACAAAAAGGGAGGGGGGGGGGGGAAGGGAAATTGAAAAAATAGAAAAAGGGAAAACTTTTTACAAAAAGTACATATGGAAGTTTAGAAAGAAACATCAATTTTCATACAAATCGTCCATATCAAACGTTCCAAAATCGTCCGGCGGACTGACGGTTTTTGAAGACGTCGTCGCCGGTCTAGAAGGCGTTGCTGGCATTGGAGCAGAAGTTGGTGGCGCCTTCTTCTTTTTCGTGGATTTTCCATTTGATGTTCCATTTGTGGATCCATTTCTGGCGAATGGTGCAGACGATTCTGTGTCGAAGAACTCATCGTCGTCATTTCGAGGAGATTTCTTCTTCATGAGAGCTTCTTCTTCTCCAGACAAATCGCGCATCGCGTCGGCGAGAAGGCCCGTGAACTGAAAATTTTATTTTTGAGTTTTTAAGACTGATTGAAAAGTTACGGCTTTAAATTAGAATACCATTAGTGACCTAGAATTCCAGAAATTACTATTAGAGAAATTTCCTAGACCACTTTGGAACTTTTATGAAATCACAATGACTCACATCTCCATTAACGGAAACATTGTATCCTCCGATCGTCTGATCGTCTCCCGGATTCAAACTGTACGAGTTAGACTGATAGCTTCCGCATTCGATCCGCGTGGCGTCGGCGGGAATAGTTTTTTTGGCTGAAAACAGGGGAAGTTTGAAATAGCGAACTAGTGACCAAGGTTTCTCTCAAACTCGGTCAAATTGGTCCATAACTCACTAATATTCATAGCTTCGGATCCAACCATAACTGGAATCGATTTGAAGCTAGCATTGGAACCCTTATTTCCAGGAGACATCAAACTTGGCTGATCATCTTCTTGATACACATACAACGTGAATTGAGGTCCCTGGCAAAGCCAACGCGGCGGATGACTGTAGGTTCTTGTCTCAACATGCGGTGTCCACATTTCTTCTCCTTCTCTACGACTTTCTTCAGTCTCCACAGTTGCGAACGCCATAATTGGAGAGTTTGGAGGCATTGGAGCATGCATATCTGTGTTGTTCTTGGTCCTTTGTAGTTGCCATCCGCCTACTGGAGTGATTGTGATTTGGGGCGGAGCTTCATGGTTATTAGTTGTGACTTCTCCTTCTTTTCTGACGGGTTTTATGTCCTGCTGAATGACCATGACTCCGTTAGATGGGTCAACCTTCGCGATGATAATAGACATGGAAGTCAAGAGTTTAGTAGTCTTAGCCGTCTTGGTGCTGGTGGTACTATTAGAACTTCTCATTCTGAACACGACTGACATCCTATTCACCTCCAATCGTTTCCTTGCAGTCAACGCAAGCGAAGTGGCTGCTGTGTTTCCGAGATAAGAAAAACTAGCAAGATCTGTTGCCCACGCTTGTAGATCCTCCTTCGTATACTTCGAATCCTTGATCTTCTCGGTAGCAGTGAGAAGAAGGGGAGGTGGAAAAGGACCAACTCTCGTATTTCCATTGGTTTTGGCAAGAACTGGAGAATTCACAGCGATTGGATGATCCTTGGTGTAGTTGCAAGAATCAGTCATGGCTCTGTGGCGGCTTGGTCCGATGAGAGCGACTACATCAGCAGCGTCAGTGAGGCCAGCAGATCTGTGGAATCTAGATTCCTTGTTCACGAACGTGTCGCCGTGGGTTCTTTGATTTGGCTTTCCTCCGAATGGACAAATTGCGAATAGATGGGTTGTTCCATGATTTGATGTGATACCCAACCAACGACAGTCTTCTGAGAAAGCAGTGGAGATTATTTTGGCAGTTGTATTTCCACGATTTAGTTTGTATAGATGTTGTACACTGGCCAATGAAGATGTGGTTGGGTGGGGCATCAGAAGGAAGATATTGAAGACGTTGGCATTTGCATCAGCCGAAAGAACCAATCGTTGATCAGGACTGAATGAGATATAGGAGATTGGATCCACGTGAGCCACATAGTGACACATAACACCATCTGAAGAGTCATCTTCTGGATTATGAGCCAAATTTAGAACTGTGATGATTCCCTGTGGTTGATTTGTCTTTGTCGTGCTTCCAGATCCACCACCGGTCATTGAGTCACTGATTGTTTTGACACCCTTCGTGAAGAACTGAAAACAAGGGTTCAGAATAATTAGGACGGTGACTAATAGTAGTTAACTCACAGACACAGCACTGTAGAGTTGATCCGTGTACTTTTCGGTAGTAGCTGGCTCCACTTCGGCAGCAAGTCCTCCGCTGCTTTGGATACTGGAGTCTAGCGTCTTATCCGCATAAGCCAACAACTGGCACGACAACGCTAACGATGGTGGATTATGGTCGCATGGTGGAGCTGTCAAAATTTTTCGAACTGGCTTAAAATCAATGATACTGTAGACGACGGCATTGTTGCAGAGAGACACCACAAGGAATTGATCAGAAGCGTTTACAGAAACTACCGGTTCCTCGAATTTGATTTTATGAACTTCTTTTCCAGTGAGCAGTGAGATTATTGTGACTGAGCAATACTGACGATCGGGGTGGTGAGAGGAAGCGTCAACGACAGCGATGAGGGGTCGGGCATCTGCGAAAGGATCAGTTTTCCCGCGAAGTTTAATGTTGTTGGGAAGGATTTTGAGAGCGCGGACAGGCCCTTGACGTTCAGAAAGAACTTCTTCGAAATCACCAGACGGCTGAAAATAGCAATATGACTTGTTTTTAAGCCCATTTTTGTCACAACTAGATTCAAACTCACACTCATTGTCCAAATCTGGTATCCTCTACACAATCCAATCACCAAAACCTCCAACCGTTGATTTGGTTCTCCTGCCTTCTCAACAGTTGACAACTGAACCCATTCAGCCTTCTCTGCGGTAATCTGTGTACTTTGTGATTGTGTCTTTGAAGAAATCCCATAAGCCACTAGATCAATCACTTGATTCGCAAATGTCTGTTGTTCTACAGCCGACTGCTTCACCACTTGTCCCTTCGCATAATTCACCGGAGCTCCGCGTGGCTTCGAAATAATCGTATTCATCGATGGAATCGGTGGTGGTTGTTGCCTCTGTTGTGACGAATTCTGATGTGTTTTCCGTGGTGGTGCTGCTGGTTTCTCATCGTCTAGGCTCATATCCACCAACATATTGTCAACAGATGCTCGGACAGTCCGTTTTGATGTTGTTGTGGATGATGGTGGAGATGGTGGTGGTGATGCTGGTCTCTTGGTGGAGTTCAGTGTACGAACTACCTCCTCGTCGTCCTCTTCCGGCGAATCCTTCACGAGCTCAATAATGAAAATTAGAGGGGAGTACAATATTATTCAAATTAACATAGTCAGTAACATAGTGGTTTGAAAAGTACTTTTATAAAACCCAGAGAGCTTCAAAAAACTGTCGAAGACGCAAAAATCAATGCCAAAAAGGGAAAAAAGTGATTAGCATGTGATTCTTTTCAATAGACAGCCAGTATATATAGGAGAGAAATGGACATGTGATGAAATACACCGACAAGCCATTATGAATTCAGAACTGAATTTTAAAAAACGCTTTTCAGCTCTTTCAGCTCAAGGTCAGGTTTTCTGGTTTTTGAAAGAAATTTTTGAACACAAACTCACCGGTCTACTACTCAAACTACTTCTATCGTCGGACGAGCTGAAGTCCAACAGATCCCCGCTAATTTTTTTGTCTTTCTCGGCGGTCTGTGCCACCGTTTCTTTTACTTCTTCCTTCTTTTCCTTTTCTACTTCGTCCTCAGCTACTGGAACAACGTCTTCTGATCTCTCTACTTTTTCTTCTTCTGGAACTTCTGATAGATCCTTCTTATCCTCTAATTGCTCTTCTGGAACCTTTTCAAAATCGACTGGAACGTCTTCTTCTTCTACGTTTGGCTCTGGATCGTCTTTTTCAGACTCTTCTGGTTCTCTTTCTTCCTTTTCTTGAGGTTTTGGTTCCTCCTGAAAAACCGAAAAATGAGTTGAAATCAAGACCATATAAAGCAGAATTAGTAAAATTTTGGGCTCTATCAAATGTTAATCTGTTCAAAATGAGGTATAAAATTTTTAAAATATCAGTTAGAGAAGGTCAAAGCATCTTCAACATACAAAAAGGTATGTTGGTCACCTGATGAAGGGGAAAACGAGGGAAAAGAGAGAGATAGTGAGAGAAAGAGAGAGAGAGAGAGATGTCGAGAAAGTGTGTGTGCCAAACAGAGAGACATGAGAGAGACATGTGAAAGAGAAAAACACGTAATTTTCAGTTGAAATCGAAATTTCGTCTATTGTCTGAGACTTTTTGGTTGTAAGAACGATGGTGAGAGAGCGTAACAAATCAAGAGACACAGACATGCAATGGTTTCAACTCGTTTGGAGGGGCTTCGTAGTACCTAGGAGATTGATTTTTTTTCTTGAAAAAATCAAGACAAAAAATAGTAATGACGTTGATTTTTCTATTTGTTGACCCAAATTGGTCAAAGAGCATCAGAGGGTCAACACATCGATTTCTATTTGGCCGTATGGTCGGGTAGGAAGGGGAGGAGACCACGAGAGGAGAGAAGAACAACACCATGTGCCTGTTCTGTTCGGAAGAGCATTTTACATTTTTTGGGACTACCTTTCTGATTGTTGAAGAATATTAGTTCAACTTTTGTTGAACAAGACTTGTTGTATGAATGGCAGTATTGAATTTTGACTTCGACTAGACTTCGCCCACTTTTGATTTTATCGGGAGACATGGGGATTTTCTTTAAATAAGAATAATTTTTTGAAAAAGTTTCCAAGTAGTCGGCTATTAAAACTATGAAATTCAGAAATTTAGAAAAACAAAATCATATGAATTGATAACTGGTCTTTTTGAAAATGTTCTCTAGAGACCCCGGAATTTCCGGGGTCTCGTTCTCTAACAAAACAAAAATTAGATTGGAAAGCTGAAACAAAACCAATTTTCAAAAAAAAGCATTTTTGGTTGGTTTTTAACTAAATCTGATTGTTGTTAAGCTAGAAAAATTAGGTGCATTTTTTCGAACATTTCATAATTTCGCGTCATTGATTTTTGTGTTCCTTTCCTCTCCTCTTTTTCCTCGTTCCTCTAGTCTGCTGAATAGACTCTACTCCTCCTCCAAACGAGTTGACACTAATAATAAATATTTTAGTTGTTGCCTCTGATATCTCAATTTTTAATTTTAAAAAACATCACAAAAAGAAACACTAAACACTATACCGGTGGTGGTTGCCGAACGCTCAGATCCACTTCAGCATCTTCTCCATCCGGTCGAACGTCTTCTGGTGGTCCAGCAGCCGCTGCGTTGGTTCTCGACGCAATCAACTGATTCTGGTGTTGTCGTTGACGTTGCTTCTTCTTTTTCGACGATCCGCCACCTCCGTGGCTTGGATTGTTTGGAAGTGGTGGCATTTTTGGGGAACCTAATAGGGGAAAATGATGGAAAAGTTGGAAGAAGAATTAAGAAAAGTGGTAGGAAAGATGAGAGAAAAACCAAAAAAACGCCTCGAAGGATCATCGATCTCTTCTCCTCCTACATCCTAGGGGCAGCGCCTTCTTCTTCTCACGTGTGTTGTCTGTCTGCGCTCTCTCCATTTCGCACACTCTTACGCTTTGCGCCAAGTCACGAGGGAGCGGAGACGCAGAGAAGTATCTTCTTCTTCGGAGTGAGCAGAAGCTTCTTTTTCTTCTTCATTTTCCCCTCAATTTTTTATTTTTCCTCGTCAAGACTCCGAGAAGGTTCTGAGGAGCAAAAATTTGTCGGAAATCGATAAGGAAAATTGTGGTTCTAATATATTTTTTTTCAATTGTTTACACATTTGTTGGAGGAATCGTCGGCCAGAAAAAACACAACAATTCGCACATGATTTGATCATCTTTCTCCCTTTTTCACTTTCCTTTTGTCGGCGCGAACGCGATTCTATACGCACCGCGCATCCCTGTCTTTTATTTATTCCTCTCCCTCCTTATCGGTTTCGCTTTCTGTGGTTTTTTCTTTCTAATTGGTCAATTATCGCAACATGGGGAGAACCAGAAACATTAAACAGTAAATCGAAAAAGACTCGTTGTCTGAGCGAGTAAAGGCTTTCTACACAATTTTAGCACATTTCCGACAGTTCAAAAATTCAGATGTTGTTCAAAAAAAAAACCAATGATTCCAAAATTCAACCTCAAAATAAGGTGATTTTCTCACGGTTCGTTAGCGAGCGTAGACTAAAAAACAAGCTTTCAATAGACCTATTGTCATCGTTTTTGTATAAAAAGCGGACATTTTTTTCAAACAAGTTGAAAAAGAAAACAGACTGTCTGATCTATTATCGCCACGTTTTGAAAACTTATCAGTCAACCATTATAGGCAGATAAAAGGAGAATTCTTCGTAGCTGTCAAAGCGTTGTTCTCATTCTTCAAAGAATTTCATGGCAAATCGGAATTCCGGGGATTTTTTGCGAAACTCTGCATTATATTAGAAGATGGCCCGAAAACTTTATTATTGATCTTCGAATCTTCCGGAATTCTCGGCTAAGAACCATTTTCTTAACTACATCTCCGCTGCTCGCTTCTCCCCCACACATACACACTTTTTTCTTTCCCAAAACGCGTAAAAAATTGGCTTGAAAACGGAAAAAAAGTTTGATTTTGAAACTAATTATCCGAATCAGAGATTATCAATTTTCCCCCGCAAATTCAACCCAATTTTGGCTTTCCGCCAAAAAAATTGGTCAAATCTCGCCTATTGCGATACAAGTTCGCTCCACGGGCCACCGTAGTCGGCGTGTGGTCGCGTTTTCGCGGCGAGACCAGCACGCTCACTCAGTCGTTTTGACCCTGTTGCCTCCAAATATCTTTCGATTTTTGACATGTTTGCTGCTGTTTTTATCAATTTTCGAAGTAATCATGAGATCAAATGACGTAATTTTCCAAGTTTTTTTGCCGAATTTTTGGAGTTTACGAACGGAAAATTGTTTGATCTTCCCCAAATATCCAATAATTGCTTCCGAAAATTGAACATTTGAATTACAGATCTTATTGGGTTGTTCGAGTGATTTCTCGCAACAAATGGAAGGAGAAAAGCTGAATCTGGACAACATCATTTCCAGATTATTGGAAGGTTTGGGAAAATTTTGCTTTTCATCGATTTTCACCTTGTTCTTTTCAGTTAGAGGATCCAAACCAGGGAAAAATGTGCAACTCACAGAGAGCGAAATTAAAGGATTGTGTCAGAAATCGCGGGAAATTTTCCTGAGCCAGCCTATTCTGCTCGAGTTGGAAGCTCCGTTGAAGATTTGCGGTTCGTTTATTTTTAGACCTTCCCACAGATGATTACTCATCAGTGTTAGAAGACACTTCCTTACACAGGAAATTGATATTTCTCAGTTTTTTGTTCTTGTAAATTTCAGTTAAAAAATTCCAGGTGATGTGCACGGACAGTACTACGATCTGTTGAGATTGTTCGAATACGGAGGCTTCCCACCAGAGTCCAACTACCTCTTTCTCGGAGATTATGTTGATAGAGGAAAGCAGTCTTTGGAGACTATCTGCCTTTTGTTGGCCTACAAAATCAAGTATCCAGAGAACTTCTTCCTGTTGAGAGGAAATCACGAGTGTGCCTCGATCAACAGAATTTATGGCTTCTATGACGAATGTAAGGGACTTACAGCCTCTAATCCTGACAGCTAATCTTTGTAATTTTTTAGGCAAACGACGATATAACATCAAATTGTGGAAGACGTTCACTGACTGCTTCAACTGCCTTCCTGTGGCCGCCATAATCGACGAGAAGATCTTCTGCTGCCATGGAGGTCTCTCACCAGATCTTCAGTCCATGGAGCAGATCCGCCGTATTATGCGGCCGACGGACGTGCCAGATCAAGGATTGTTGTGTGATCTTTTGTGGTCGGATCCGGACAAGGTTTGTGGTTTATGCGTTGTTTACACGATGGTGTGGTAACCGTATTTTTTGCAAATATCAAACAAATATTGACACTTTTTTGTGCACTTTACAGGATGTCACCGGATGGGGAGAGAACGATCGAGGAGTTTCGTTCACCTTCGGACCAGAAGTTGTGGCCAAGTTCTTGCACAAGCACGACTTGGACTTAATTTGCAGAGCACATCAGGTGAGGAAAATAATTACTGTACCAAGAGAAAGCTAATTTCTAGGAGGGTTGAAATACTAGAAGTGAATCCGTTCTCAGTTGTATAAATTTGAACGATACAATAAAATTTTTGAGGTCGCAAAAATTATTTGTGTAGTTTAGCTTCCAAAATAATGTTTTTTGGGTACAGGGAGAGCGGGGAACTGAACCCCCAAAACGAGATTTCACTAATTTTCTGTTCTTTTTCCAGGTCGTAGAAGATGGCTACGAGTTCTTCGCCAAACGACAACTAGTCACACTGTTCAGTGCTCCTAACTATTGCGGAGAATTCGATAACGCCGGATCGATGATGACTGTCGACGAGACGCTAATGTGCTCATTCCAGGTGAGAAAGTTATCTGAAATCGGGAAATGTTGACGTGAAAACTTCACCGGTGATGTAATGGTCAAGTCAGACGAGTCTAAATTGGCGATCGGTTCGAGTTCTTCGAAGACATCGCCGCCTAAAGCGGGGTGATAATGAGGCATTTGTCTGAGGTGATATTAGAAAAATTTCTAGGACTTTTTCACTTTTTCGGAAAAGTACAGATGAATATTAATGATTTATTTTTCAGATTCTGAAGCCAGCCGACAAGAAGAAGTACCCATATGGAGCAGGAGGTGTCGGCTCAAACCGCCCAGTCACACCACCACGGAACGCGCCTGCCGCGCAACCAAAGAAAGGCGCCAAGAAGTGATATAATAATATTATATCTTTTGTGTCGATTTTCTCTATTGTTTACTATCCATCTGTAAATACTTCTCTAACACCGTTCCATTTTGTTCCCAAACCTCGATCGCCCCATTCGCTTCTCGGTCATCTCCTCCCGTTTCAGCTTTGATCGAAGAATCTTGTAGTTGTCTGTGTGTGTACATTATCCCATCATTTTCAAAAGAGAATTCTTTCCATTCTTTTCCTAACAAAATTTCGAAATGATCTGACGCCGGCTGACATACGTGCGAGAAGATGCCCGTCGTCGCGAGGCGAATATCCCCCACACTCCCCAATTCTCAAATTCAAGCTTTCGTTGTCACCGTCCCACCCCTCCTACCCCATTATCTCTGCGGACCATTCTGTTTCTTTTTACTTTAAAAAAAATAAAATTTCCCGTCCTACTTTAGTGTTAGATTATTACTCCGAATCCCCTCTCCCCAATTGCTGGCTCAATTTTTCAATCCATCCCATTTTTAAGTTCGTCTCTTGTTTCTTTTTTGTCTTAATTTTCGTTCTATCCCTACAAATAGTTTAAGCGGCCATCTCTCTAATTATATATATATTTTTTTTAATTACTCAAAAAGACAAATTTTTATGATAATTTCTCTCCCGTCCCCATCCATTCTAAAATTCCCTTCTCGTTCCTAATTTTGTAATGTAAAAGTCGTATTGTCGAATGTTCGAACAAGAAACAAAAAGTGAAAAATAAGAATAAAATAGAACACTGGTCCTCCTTTTGCTCTCTATCTCCTCTCTTCTCGTTTTCTCTAACTCTCCTCTCTTCCCGAATAAACGAGTGTAGTTGTATCTCCTAGGAGAGCGCGCAGAGAACCCCTTCACAACAACAGCTCCTATATCGATTTTTGCTCCTGCCTCGTTAAAATTCCCTAGAGACTTCTTCCTCTTCCTTCTTAATCACAATGCTCCGACCCGGCTCATCGGTCAGCTATAATAGGTAATAGAGAAACAGAGTGCGAAAACTTTTGAAATCTTGCTTTCCCACTTTTTTTAGCGCGATGCACCAAGTAACGATAGACGCTCATCCAACGGAACAGGCAATTGTGGTGCGCTTTGATCAGTCGTCGGGTAAGCAACGGGCTAAGAAACTTCGAGAAAAATAGAGGATCTGGCGGGAGAGCTCTCGTTGTTGAATCTAGGAGTCGTTTAGAATGTATCCAGTCGAAAATCTATATTCGCCGTCTTTCTCCAGAGCTGTAATCGCGAATATAGAGAACTCCAGATCTGAATTTCGAGAAATAGCCAACACATGTTCCAGGTTCACCATCAAACACACTCAAAAAGCGTGCATCATCTGCCAACGTGGAATCACTAGGTTATCAGAAAGTGTAAGTGCGCTCTATTGGTAGTTAGACGTACAAAAATGTTCAATAGAGCAAACTTGCTTCAGTCCTAAATGTCTCCTGGTAAAATCTATAAAAACATACAAAAGAAAAAAAAACATTCGAGGGGAGAAATGCTAATTTGCTCTATTGATGATTCAATCGAAAATTAAGGATTAAAAATTCCAAAAAAAAGTTTTATGAAAATTAGAAAGAAGGTCTGAAAATGTAGAAAATGAAACTGAAACAAGGAAATTCGGAACTTTAAGAATTCAAATTCAAATTAAAAACTATGAAGAACGCACTCCCATTGTTATTTCCTTCAGAATAAACTTGAAAGAGTTGTCTCCCAATGTGGACATTCGCACTCTATCGAACGTTATCCTTCAAATATGCCTATTCATTCCTGCCACGTCACGAAGTCAACTGGAGCAGGTTTTATATTTTCTTCAAAAAAGAGGCACCCCGAGAATGAGTTCTTCGAGATCTCGAAGTTCATCAACAGTTTCCTTTGATCGAAGATCAAGTCAGGCGGCAGTTTTGAATGTGGATTTGGATAAAGTCGATGTGCGTTTTTTTTATTGAAGTGTTTAAAGTTTTATGAGGCAATTTACGAAATATAATGCCACCTTAAACACTATAAGAATACCTTCAAATAACTTTCCACTTTGAGCCAATTTATCTCGGTTCCTGTGAAAGATGCCAAAAGTTATCAACTAACAAAATATTTTTGGACATTTTTGAACGAGTCTGCAAACACGGACGGACAGTTTTTTTATTCTGACAATATAGAGTTGTGTGAGGTCGCCGCTCAAGCTTCTCGCCTTCAAGGGTACGGAGGCTGAGCGGCGGGCCGCCGGCGACTCCAGATCTCTATCCACTGAGCGAATTCATCTCGGTTCTTGTGAACGATATCAAATAGTAATCAGCTGATAAAATGTTTTTCATATCATTATAAACATTTTGTCAGTTGACTACTTTTCGATATCCTTTACAGGAAATGGGATATATGGGCTCAAAATTGACTAGTCTTTACGGTATCTGTAATGTGGGCGGAGCTTGTGCTTGTGCTTGTGCTAGATATCATAGAACTAGTTCTAGTCAACCTTGAGAAATTAAATTGACCGAAATCTACTTCTTACTAAGAAAACTTTTCTGTGTGTGTGTCTGTGTGTCCGTCTCGGACATTCACTTGAATAACTCAAAGGAATATGGGACTCCTAAAGTGGTATGTAGTATGTAGTCATGGACTACCGAGCGCTTCATGTCCATGGTGTCCATGGACCTTCTAGAAATAAACATAATTAACTTCCAAACAAAATTTTTTAAGTTTTAGTTTCTTGAAACCACTGAATTCCAAACTTTTATAACGTTTGAGTTAACTGATTGCTTAATTTTCAATTTAAAAAATTTCCGAATCTGTTTTCTGAATTCCAATAAGTCGAAATTTGAAGATTAATAATTAGAAAATGATTTGAAAAATATCTAAGACTTTGAATCTCCGGTTTTGGATTTCCTGAATTTTCCAAATTTTTGCACATTCGAAACAATCAGAAAGTGCGAAATATGGAAAACCAGAGATTGTGAAATTCGAAGAATTTAAAAAAATTCTAGAAAGTTCCAGAAAACTCAAAAACGTTCCAGAACATTTCAGAACATTCTAGGAAGTTCCTAAAATTCCAGAAAAATCCGGAAAGTTTCACGAAAATTCCAGAACATTAAGAAAATTTCTAGAAAACTTCAGAAGATTCCAATTCATTATGCAAAGTTCCAGAACATTCGAGAACAATCCGGGAAATTCCAGAAGTTTCCAAAAATTTACTTAAAGGGGCCAGACAGCAAAAAGTTTGGGAGACATCAGAGAAATATCAGAGAAAGTTTTTTTTTTGATGTATGCCCTCCTTTAAGTTTCAAAACACTAGAGAAAAATTTCAAAACGTTCCAGAACATTCTAGGAAATTCCGACAATTCCAGAAAGTTCCGGAAAGTTCAGGGAAGATTTCAGAACATAAAAAAAGAGTCGAGAACACTCCTGAAAATTTCCAACAATTCTAATAAGTTTCAGAACATTCTAGAACAATCCGGGAAATTCCAGAAATTTCCAGAAGTTTCCAGAAATTTCCAGAAATTTCAAAAAAGTTCCAAAACATTCCAAAAAACTTCAAAATATTTTAGAACATTCCAGAACATTCTAGAAAATGTCAAAAAAACTTCAAGAACGTTTTCAATATTTACTTTTATCTACAAGAATACAGGTCTTGCAACCTCTTCCCTATACTTTCAGTGTAATCTAGAACCGAAGGCTTAGATAAAATGATGTATGAAGTTTCCGAAATTCAGAAAACCCGAAGATTTGAAAAACTCGGAAAATGCAGATATTCAAAAATTGGTGAATTTTGGTTCGAAAGTCGAGACTTTAAAAATTCAGAAAATAGTACTCTGCTATCAAGAAACAGGCATTCTGTCATGAAGAAACTCGGAAACTTAAAAATCCTGAAAATCGGATGTTTGAATTCAGTTATCGCGTTTTTACTAAGAACCGACAAGACTTAATGGAAATTACCAGAAAATTGGGAAAAAATACGTCTGCAATAACCAAAAAAAAAACAAGCGGCTTAGTCAGGGTGGGATTCTATCAGAGGTATCCATCAAATAGATGTGGCTTTCTTTTAGGAAAATCTAAAATTTTAAACTTTAAATACTTCGAAGTCACTCAAAAAGTGAGAAATTCAGAAATTATCAATTCAAGTGTATAATACAATAAACGGCAGCCAGGAGGTTGAGCCCCCGGCAGGGGGCTCAAACCGACTGGTATTTATATTACCTGAAAACTATTTTCAGGAATACATTGAATGTTTCTATGGAGAGACATCAGCGGAGAAAAACAAAGGAGCCGTGGCACTTCACGAGCTCTCGAAAACACCCCAGAATCTGACTGCACTCGTGAATAACGGTATATCTGTGTGTCAAAGATGTCCTAATGTCCATTTTCCAGAGACTCTCATGATGGCACTGGCTCGAGTTTTCAGAGAGGATTGGAAGAAGCATTTTGATGTTGCCACAAATATTATGAATCTATTTGTGAATATGTCAAAGTTTTCGATTTTTCATGGAATATTGCTACATCATAAGGTACAGTAACTTGTGGGATCTAAATTAATCTTCACTAAAAAGACAATTACTGAAATTCCTACAAATTCAATTGTTCCAGATCGGTTCCCTATGTGTCAACGCAATTGAGCACGAGACTAAACGATATGATTTATGGATTGCAGAAATGAAAAAAGCTGATCAGGAGACGCAGAGAAAGTTAAAAAATGCTATAAGAAAACAAGCAATGTTGCTAGCAGGTTTGTGGCCGTGGATGAACATTTTCTAGGCCACCAATTTAAATATTTTCAGCCTGTATCACAATGCTCACCAACTTGGCAACCGATATCAGTGTGGAGTTGAAAATGGTCAGACGAAATCTAGTGGTTCTGCTTGTCAAGTTAGTGGACTAGATTCCTAGGTCGTCTCTGAATAAATTCTGATTTCCAGATGTCTTCAAATGTCATCAGACTCTCCGAACCCATTAACCACTTCTACTGTCAAATTCCTGCTGAAATTGAGCATTTTTGAAGAGAACAAAATAGTAATGGAACAAAATGGAACGATTGAAAAATTGCTGAAACTATTCCCAATTCATGATCTGGAACTTCGAAAAGCCACCATCCAACTACTCTTTAATTTCTCGTTTGACCCAAAAAATGTGCCAAAAATGGTTAATGGAGGATTAGTACCACATATGTCATCACTGATTGAAAGTGATAATAAGGCATTGAATATGTTGTATTTGTTGAGCTGTAATGATGATGCCAAAGCGATGTTGGCTTATACGGATGCGATACAGTCGGTGAGTATGGTGGCCTAGAAAACGTCTTCGGGGCATCAATAAGAGAATTCTTTCTACAAATTTCCGGATCCCCGAAGAAATCCTCTTGAAAAAATGAATATGAGGGGTGGATTAAATTGATTTTCGGAATAGGCTAGACTTCAAACACTCCTTTCATCCTTCATGGATGTCAGCCATGAAGAAACGAAAGAAGCGCAGTAGATATATTTAAATGAAGTAGCCGACAATTCACGGGTTCCGCAGTCCACTATCATTTCCGTGTAAAGTGGGCGGGGTTTACAATTAGCTTATATACAAACTTTGTCTCAATTCTTAGAGGTTTCGCTGCATAATTTTTGATCTAATTTCCACGGGAAAGTGAATTACTGTAGCCTATTTCAGTTGATGCGTGATGTGCTCAGTGGAAGAGGAAGTGAAGTGACGAAAGCAGTCCTTCTGAATATCTGTCTAGAGAAACGAAATGCTCAATTGGTATGTGGTGCTGGTGGACAGGGCCTAGATCTTTTGATAGAAATGTCAATGGAGTCAAGAGATTTGATGCTGATCAAAGTGATAAGAGCCATTTCTAGTCATGATGGACCGACACAGAATATGTTTTTGGTAGGTCAATGCTTCATTGCGTTACTGTAGTCAGATAAAATTTCAGAAATGGATCGATAAACTTTTGGATGTTGCAAAAAGCGAAGGAACCGATAATTCTGAATCTAAATCTTCATTTGGTTTGGAATGCATGGGAGCTGTGGCGGAGATTAAAGTTGCGCCATGGGCAAAGTATGTAAAAATTGAAAAAAAAAACCCAGCCTGTTTGCCGCGCCTCTGGCGTTCCAAACAACTGGCTGGTGCGCTTACGGCGCGAGATCGTCGTGTCGCTCCTCACTTTTTTCCACTACTTTGAATTGAGAAACTGTCAAATCTTTATGATTCTTTCTCATTTTATGTCAGACCTGCCAACCCTGAAAGTATTTTGGTAGATGATATTTAGTCTGGCGGATTCTTCCTGTGGCTTTCTAGGGCAAATAGTCTTTTTGAACAATTTATTAAAGTTTCTATGATTTCTAGGCTTGTTTAGAATTTAGTTTTTTTTCGGACTTTCAAGTTTTTGACATTTTTTCAGAGATCTGAGAATTTCGAACCATCTATATCTTGTGAGTACCCAAGACTTTCTAGGCTCTATAAATTTTTTAACGACTTCAATTTTTGAAAGAAGGAGCAATGTTATTGAAAAAAAGCATATTTCAGAATAATCCAATCTCATTCTTTGGTTCCTTGGATGAAAGATCAGTTACAAGAAGGAATCGACGAATCACAAGAAGTCACTGTACTTCGAGAAATAAAACCATTGCAATTACAAATTGTAATCACTTGTGGAACGATGGCAAGACAACTCGATGCTGCACGACTTTTGGTTCCACTGATTGACACTTTTGTGCATTTGCTTCAATGTAAGAGATTAACATGTTCGAATTTTCTCTGATTCATTTAAAACTGAAAAATCTGAACTCTCCTCGCCAAGAGCTTCAAAATAAGTATAAACATAACCTATGCTTGATTAGTTTGGGAATACTGTAGTTTTCGAGGTGAGACCTACACGTAACTAAATTAGGTATATTTATACTCATTTTATATCTTTTTTATACGGGTAATTGAGATTTGAAGTTTTCAGATAGCTGGAAACACAATAAAGCAAATTACAGTCTCCCGATTTTTTCAGCTTGCCAAATTGATGATGAGTTTGTCGTTCAGCTACTCTATGTATTCTTGCAACTATTGAAACACAAAGTAAGTAACTATAAACCGTGAACTGCAAATTTCAAACTACAAATGTTCCCAGGACCTCTCGGCTCGTCTGATGACCCAAGATTCAGAACTCGGAGCCCATATGATTGATTTGATGCATGATGCCAACGCAGCAGTCCGTGAAGTATGCGACAACGCTCTACTGATAATGGGAGAGCACTCGGAAGACTGGGCGAAACGAATCGCTGGTGAACGGTTTAAATGGCACAATGCGCAGTGGCTGGAAATGGTTGAGGTAAATTAAAATCCGTTCTTGAGCCTTCTTTGGAATGGGTTGATTTGGAGCTTCAAAATAAGTATAATCATAACTTTTAATACGCTTTTGGTCTCATAGCAGAACTACAGTAATCCCAATGTCAAGAGTAGCAGGACATGTTTACACTCCCTTTCAAGCTTTTTAAACTTTGAGTTCAAAATTTTTGAAATTATTTGAATGGAAAAAATGCTATGAAAATTAGTATCATAAAATTTCTAGCGCGACGATCATGAGTTCAACAACTATGACAACGAAGATTTCGGAGCGGATTTCAACTTCGATAATTTTGATGATGACTTCGATATGAATGAGAAATTGTTTTAAATGCGAGTAGAATAAAACTAAAAAATATTAAAGTGGGCGGGGCGCTTGGCGAGATTTTCAGATGGCTGATGGTAATTAAACTTATTTATGGCTCCGAAAAATAGTTTAGTAATTTATTGTGCACCAAAAGTAAAGTCTTATTGGGACTAAATATTATTGGGTGAAAAGTTCTGGGTATTGTCAGGAAGTGTTTCTAAAAAATAGAAAAATGTATTTATTCATAGAATACAATAAATCAAGTTCAAATCGGTTCGGCAGTTCCCATCTTTGGTGGCAATGCCTAAAAGAGGTCCAGTTCAAAATATCAATGTTCAATAGGGCACACTTACTTTTTTACTCTTGCTTTTACTATTACTTTCTCTGCTGGGTGTTCTTTTATCTGCAGTACCTCCTCCTCCGCCACCAGAAATTTGTTCTCTACTCGGTAGTTCTTTACTTTTCTTCTCATCAAATGCTCCCATTTCATCCCAATTTTTTTTACTCCGTCTTCCACCTCCAGACGATCCTCCAGATGATGGTGTCACTGGTTCTCGACTCTTCTTTGCAACTACCAATTGCTCAACAGATGCCGTTTTCCGTGTTCCCTCGTTTGCAGTTTTTAGAGACTGTTTCGGAGTGAGAAGGATTTCACGGGATAGTTGTTTTTGGAATGGATTGTTGGTTGGTGTACGAGCAGCCGATGGGATAACCGGTTTTCTCTGAAAATGTATTTTTGGTAACCCAGAAATGGAATTCCAGTTTTCTAGATATTTTTGTGTAACCATTTTAAAAACTACCTTAGAAATCAGTGTTTTCGAATTTTGCGGTTTTGATTCTAACAATAGTTGTTAAGAAGATGGTGGCTTGTTAGAATACCGAAACTCTGATTCCTCGTTCATATTTCAAACTCCACCCATTTAAAGTCGGCGGCCTAACTTTTCCCTTCTCTAAGAAAACATTTCGAATTGTTTTTGCACTTGTCTTTACCTTATCACTTTCACTGTTCTTTGGAGGTTTCTCCTCCAAACTGCCCTCGTCTAACGACACCAATGTCATTGTTTTCGACTTTCGAGCGTCCTCGTCTAAACATTTTTAATTAGGCCGCGCCCACTTTTTGGCCTCCCCTACCTCCCATCACATCATACACCTTTTCAATATCGGACGGTGGGAATGTGACATCTTCTGGATATCGATTGTCCCGAGTGCCTGGTTTAACGTCTTCTGAAAAAAGAGAAGGTGTCACTAAAATGTTCAATTTTTATGTTTTTAGGATATTCTAGGACTCTTTCGGTCAGCCTTACGTTTTTGTCCTTTGATTCCGTAGTTGGCGTTGACTGTCCCAATGTGGTGAGGATGACAAATCTGCTTGCACACTCCAATGGGAAGGAGAATTTGACAAGCCTAAGAACTAGATTGTCTAGGGAGACTAAAATACTGAAATTCTCTGGAAAGGCTAGGAAGTCTGAACTATTAGACCTTGAAAAGTGAATATTAACACTACAAACTACAAACTTCATCAATTAAATCAACAATGGCATTTTCCACATCCTGAATTGTAGCCCAAAGCTGATAGGCGTTGAATAAGGTCCACAGGGTTGATAAGAGTGCCAAAAAACATGTGGCAGTTGCTCCAATCCATAAATAACGAGCCAGCATGTGATGGAGGAAAAAACTGCATCCCTCTTTGAAAGGTCCATGACTGGTGCTCTGAATTACATTTTTACTTCATTGTCCCTTTCTCAATGTGTTTTGTTTTGTGTTGAAACTTGTATTCGCACCCTATCCACGCAAAGAGCTTCAAAATAAGCATGATCTACTTTGGTCGAATTTGGGTGTCAACGAATTTCGCGGATTACTTTAGTTTTTCAAATGCAACCGAACCTAGACTTTGTTACACTAATTTTGAATTTCGAGATCTCAACGCGGAGATTTGAGATGAACGAATTGTAAGCGGATCAGAGAAAAATGTAGTAACATGCCTCTAGAAACAGTTCAGCATTTGAAGAATTTGCCATTTGTCGCCAGAAATTTTGTGATCAATGAATTAACAAAGTTGAATCGTGGTAATGTTTAAAGAAAACATACTATCAAAAACGAAACATCATACACGTTGTGAGCAAGTTATTCAGGTGAGTTTTTCTAGCCAAATGTTATATAGCGACCTAACAGAACGGGGTTCATTTTTTTGAGTTTGGATCCGTACTCTGAAACTGAAATAGAACATTTCAGTAAGTATTTTCTTATCAGTTTAACATTTTTTGTGATTAAAAAAAAGCCTTATTAAGCCTTAGTTTTTTTTTGCGAAAATCTGGAAAAAATTTGTTTTTCATATTCTTATTCTAAAATGTTCTCCGTCCGAGTTCATACCATTCATCCAAATTTGGACATATCGCTTAAAATTGAATTTAGGATATTATCAGAACAAAAATCAAGAGAAAATTTATGTCGATTCTTTTTCAAAAAACCGTGTTAGCTTTTTTGAAAACATCTGAAAAGCTTTTTTAGTATAAAAATGTTCAACGTTGAAATTCGAGATATGACCCAGAATATTAGGCGAATCTCTTGCTCGTACAAAGTTATGGGCCGATAAAGGTTTTTAGTGTAGGAAACTATCTCACGGAAACAAGTTTTCAGGTCAGAAAACGTCAACAAAAATAATTTATTGCGATTTCAAAAAAAAAAAGAAGTGGGATAAAGTTTCGAGTTTGAGAGAATGAAATGAAAGCATGCAGAAGAGAAAACATATTGAAGTCAGGAGGAAAACAATGTTCGAGCTTAATTAAATGAAAAAAACGCACAAGTAAAATCAAAGCAATTCATAGACAGATCACTGATTGGTATTCTTCTCGGGATGAACCATTCTCTCTGAGAATTTAAGAATTTCAGGTCCTCCTCTAACTTCAGATTCCAGAAGCGGCAACTTGACGACGTGGAAGTCTTCGTATAATTCATCGATTTCACTGAGATATTTCGATTGGATCGCTTGACGAGATCCACACTTTCGACATGTTATTTTTCCAGATTCATCTGTATCTGGGAATAACAGTTGATTGACGATAATGTTGTGAGTATCGATTCCTTGTTTTGTCAATTCTTGAATCAATCGTTCCGTTTCGTAGAGCGACAAGAATTCCGCGATGCAAACGCAAACGAAAGTTGTGCAATTCTGGAAAATTTATCGAATTTCTTTGTCAATGTGTATGGTTGTAAGATGAATGAAGTACTTATTCAAGGTTTTATTCTCTGTTAAGTTTTTATTCCTTCTCCCCTGAAATTCCTTACCGGATCCTTGAATTGTCCATTCATTTTCTTGACACTTTCCAATGTAGTTGTCATTTTTTCAATCATTTCATTCATTGATCCTCCACCCATTCCGAACATTCCACCGAACTGATTCAACATTGGCCCAAACATTCCCTGAAGAGAGAGAATCTTTGTGAATACTTTTTCCAAAAGTGTTGGAAATTGGAGAAGACGAAGAGTATGCCCAGTCGGCGCTGTGTCAAAAACGACGACGTCGAAATCGAGAGAATCTATCAGTCTGTAATTTTTAAGTTACTGTTTTATTTAGCTATCAAAAGGTTTACTTGATCATCTCTCCAAAGCTCATTGCCTCATCAATTCCTGGTAGTCCCCCAGCGAATTGTTGCAAGAAATCTTTTCCCATTGCGAACCCATTTCCACTTCCACCTTCGTTTTGTGCAGCATTTTGGAGCATTTCTTCGATATTTGCCATTTCTACACCTTCTCCAGATGGGTTCGAATCAATTTCCATTGCAAAAAGATTTGTGAAACCTTCGACGAGCGTTGGAGTTTTCGTAAATTTCTGACAAAATGCGTCCGAAATATTATGGGCGGGATCCGTGGAAATCAGAAGAACGCGTCCTCTGACTTTCGATAGCTGAGCAGCCAGAGAACAACTGCATGTAGTTTTTCCTACTCCTCCTTTTCCACCGACGAAAACCCATTTAAGTGACTTTTGTTCCAAGATGTTTTTGATAGAACCTTCAAGTTGATCGTCGGCCATAGTTCGTTGTTGCTGAAACTGTTTATTGTTGACTAAGCTTCTCAACTGTCGAAAATTCGAAAACCCCTAAATTCAAAGAAAAAAATATTGTAACAGAAAAGAAGAAAGTAGTTAAATTTCGGCAGAAAACCGGCGAAAAATCATGAAAAACTAAAAAAGTTCAATTAATTTATTATGCGACATAAAAAAGTTCAACTTTTTCCTCAGTCAGCCGGATTTTTCTGCACAATTCTAATCAGTCGATCGACAATGGATCCGGTTCGGCACGTGGAATCACTTGAACTCCGCTCGCTTTCAGTCTGAAAGCCGACCAAATTTGAAAAATCCATGAGTCAAGTAGAGCGAAAATACTCTTTGGAACGTGGCTCACCTCAACTTCCGATTATCCCACAATCCATCGGGCATCGGATAGGAGAAGAGATATCTGGAATTAGACAAACTTGCAGAAGTTCGGAAACTCGTAATTTCGGCGGGAAAAAAAAAAATCAAAAGCTCACAATTTGAGCGGTCCGAAATAGTAGTCGAGAAACTCCAAAAATCGCTCTTTCAGTGTATTTGTGGGAGTCTGAAAAAAAAACCTTCTTCGTTTAACTGAAAAAAAAAATTTAAGAAACTCACATAAATCAATTGAGGCTTGGCCTGCTTCTCGACATCCATAATTTTGGAATAGCGGACAGAAGATAAATACTTAGACATAAAAAATAATAAAATATTGTATCCAAATAACCAGTCGAGGAAAAAAACATTCATTTCAATTAAATGTGCAAAAAATTGGGGCGGAAGGAAATTCGAAAAAAAGCTTCGAAATCTTTTTGAAAAGTATACACAATAATATAAATTAAAGCTGAGTAGTAAATGAAAGAGGCATCACAGCTAATTTTAAAAAACCGAGAAAATCTTGAAAAAATTATGGGTCCGATAGAAGAAAAGGGATAAAGAAATATGCTTAATACCCGTTTAAAAAAGGTTTTTTGATGGAACAAAGAAACGATATGATATCTAGGTTATATAAAGTTTCGAATGAATAATACATTGTTTTTCGATAGAGCAAGTTTTCTACATTGCATCGAAATGGAATCGATGCGATTGTTGTTGTCGCTCGTAGCGATCTTCTTTTTTCTCCCGATAGTGCAAAAATACAACAACCATCAGAAGCATACAGCATACCAGGGCAATCACAGCGAGACTCTGAAATTGGCATTTTTTACAGACTAGAAAACCGAGAGGTTTCCGAGCTGAGAGTGAAATTTATGCATGGGAGTTTTGAGGTTTTCATCATTTTCTTTTCAAAACTAACCTGTACAATAAGTGCTGATGGTGTAACATAGAGCCGACTAGTCCAGTGTGGATACTCAGGAGACGGTGGCAGAACAATGATACGGGAATTCGGAACGATTTGTTTCAAACTGTGCTTCCAGTCCTCTTTGCGATCCGCGTATTTCGGAATAGCGATGTTGAGCTGAAAGCATTGTGAATTTTTGAAATATTCACTTTTTAGCTTACCTCATCAACAAAATTGGGACTTCTTCCAAGACCGTAAAGCAAGAATGGTAGATAAAGTGCTCGATTTGAAGAAGCTGGAACTTGACATGCAACACTTTGAGTACTTCCACCCCATCCATCGGTCATCGAGAATGATGCACAGGCACCAGTCATTGAGATACTTGAACCAATTTCATTCGATTTTGGATTGCAACGATTATCGCTGCAAACGCCTGTGAAGACTTGGACCTGGAAAATAAACGAAATTTGAAAAAAAAGACCGAGAAATAAACAACCTTCAAAAACGTAGTATCTCCCTTATCAGGACAATACACAAATCCAAATCGTGTCTCATTTCCCAAATCATATTCAACCAATAAATCGAGTGATCCATCTTCTAATAAATCAAAAAATGTTCCCATTTTAATAATTCCCAACGCCATGTTTTTGGGTTGAATGAATTCTCCTTTCCGGATATCGAATCGACGAGTCCCGTTCTTTTCACAATTCTTACATTCCTCGTTTTCTATTACTTTGATTGCTGGGCGATTGTTGGTCTACAAAAAAAAATAGAATTTTTAGAAGAACTCTGTCCCTATTCTTACCCTGGTTCCCTGTACAATTGTCACTAAATCCGGGAAAGAATTCAATGAAAACTCTCCAACTCTAAACACAACCAACGAATGTGGTTCTGGTTTCACAAGATAATCCTGCATGTCTAATGTAACTGAAGCCCATAGTCTTGATTTACAAAACGATGCCAATTGAATCAATTGAACGCATGACGCCTCTTTACATATCGGTACAATTATATCAATTTCTCCATCTGAATCCATATCCATCACTACTGGTGCAGCTACGGCTGGATATTGAGCATAGGTCAGAGTTGGAATCCAATCACGATACTGCCATCCGATCTTCGTGTGCTGCCATACCTAGAAAGGGGGATCTGGGATGATTTAGAGGATTTCGGAAGCTCACCATCATTTTCAGTCCATTCTGCTCTTTTGTCATGAAAACTATGTCGGCGATGAGATCAGCTGAAAACAAACATATTATTACCCCCGAATACAGTAATCCACTCACAATTAATATCCACAAATAGGTGTGGCATTCCTGCATAGATATCTATATTATTCGGGAAATTCGAAAATTCATTGTTACACGAATCAACAATTGGGAACATTGATCCATCCTTCTGAACTTTTGAACAAAACATCGATCCATTCGGATAGAAACCTAGAATATCAGTCAATCCATCATTTGTGACATCAATGGTCATGGCATGTTGCATTAGAAAATCCACGTGGAATGGACGGAACACTTCTTTGTCGCCTTCGAGAAAAGATGTCCACAGAGTATGGTTGTAGAGACCACCGGAGTCCCGGATTGAAACCTGAACAAAACTTGGGTTAATCTCGGTTATTTAGTTGAAAAATCAGTTGAAAAAAATCGTCATTTTCGCCAAATGTTTCGACTCAATTTCTCGAATGTAAAACTTACCAGCACATCCAATCTAGAATCTCCATTGAAATCTCCAACTGAACATTCCACAGATTCTGGCTTTAAACTACCATTTCCGATGGTGAAACTGGTTCCTTGAGTGAATTTCGAAGCTTCTAAAACATCCAACAATTTCGTTTCTTGGTAATTTACAGTCAGTGATCCATTTCCAAAAACCAGAATATCTGTATTCCGATCTGCATTGAAATCTCCAAATGCGCACACTTTTCCCGGAAGATCCGGAGCAGTCTTATCCAGAGAGCGGGCAAAGTTTATTAGAAATATCCATATTAAAATTGAGAATGGTTTTAACATGGTACCTGGAAAAGAGCATTTTTGTGATTTTAAAGATATTTCCACACGACAAGAAAGACTTTAATCAGCTGATTTTCAAATTTCCTGTATTTCAGAACTTCAGTATTATTTTCGACTCAAAGAGAGATACGATAATTTACGAAAAGAACGTTAAGAAAAAGTTTTTAAAAATGCAAAAACTGAAATTCATCGTTCCGGTGGAAAAAGGAAAGAAAAATGAAGTATGAGCAATAATATGATTGGTATAAAAGATAATATATTATTTAAAGAGTAACACAACAAAGGATGAGCCTAAATGGGAGAGGATTTTTTAAGAGGGAGATATGGCAACAAAAAGGGAAATCTTAAATATTTTTGGCGAAACGTTTCTTGATAGCTGGAATAAGTTTGATGTGATCGTCGGCACAAACTGAGACACATGAATCGAGTTTTTCGTTGAAACTGAGCTTCTGGAACAAATTTAACGGGAATTGGGGGATTTGATGATGTTTCTTTTAAAACAATTTTCGGAGGAAATTAGAATTTTTAGGTGCGAGAATTTCAATTTTCATTAAAACTTATTTATTTGTAAAAGATCATTTCCAGAAGTTTCTATCAAAGCCATGAGAATAAAGTTCTTAAATTTTAACGAATAACCAGCATTATTCCCGATTCCCCACAATTACATCATTATTATGACGAAATTTCGGTTAAAAATTCATTGAAACATGAAATTGAAATCAATTCTACGATTGAGGCATGATTCATTCGGAGACCATTCACCAACAAGAGACCCTCCACATGTGTGTTGAATATAGAGAGACGCAGAGAAAAGAGCCGAGTCCGCAAACACCTTGGCTGAAAAATGCATGCCGCGGGAATTTTTCTCGCCAGCGCGGCAACTTTGTCACCATTTCTGGGCATTCCGCTTCGTTTCACATCGATTTTCAATATTTTCGTCTTTCCTCCCATTTTCTTGTTTTTTTTTCAAGCTTTCCGAAAATTTCAGAAAATGTCCGGTTCCATCGCCGATTCCGAGTATTCTCGTGTCATCGAAGAGATTTTCCAAAGTGAGTAGCATTTTCTATGCAGTTTCTCAACCAAAAAGGGACGGAATCTTTAGGAATTCGCGCCACTGGTGATACCGTAGGGAATCGTGCTCTGTTTCTCGAATGGATCGATATCTTCCAACGTCCTGGACATGTCGTAGCCAGTAAATCATTCAAAGCGCTGGCTGAGATGAAGAAAGAATCAGTTACTAGTCAAGGTGAAACCGGTAAGGAAATGTTTTTGGAAGGAGACGGATATTCTTATACTGACAATCAGTACGCTTAATTCAGAGTCATAAATCTAAAACATTCATAATTCCAGAAATTTGCGCAGTGTGCTACGACAAGCTGTGCAATCCAGTAGACTTGCCAGAAACATTCGTTCTCCATGCAGAATACAAAATTGATAAGGATGAATTCAAAAACTCGGTGACAATAATGCCATGTAACCATCGGTTTCATTTTCTGTGCCTTGTTATGTGGCTGGACCAGTCTCAGACATGCCCAACGTGCCGGAATCCAGTCAAAAGTGACAGTCAATACGACAAAGATCAACAACAAGCACGTGTCGACGAACTTCACAACTCCATGTATTCCTGATTAGAAGATTAATTAGCTGTGAATTGGCTAATTAAAGGCAATTTTTCTTCTCATCCAATGTCTTTTTCTCCCCGGTTCATCTTTGATTCCAATGACTTTCTTTTAATTCCTACCATTTTCCCCTTGTTTTGTTCTGTATATTTATATTCCTGTATATCTAGTCAGTTAATTTTTACTAACTATAATGAAGCAGTGACCTACTATTAGAGGTTTTAGACTTTTCAGATCGCAGCCTTTAGTTCAAAATTCGAAAATTTTTAGGATCCGCCCTCCAGACAAACCTGTTGCTCGGAATAGTTATTGACATTTGGTCCAAACTGCTGAACGAGTTTATCATAGCAAGTCATTGCGCATCGAGAGAGTTGATCCTGTAGACCGCCCAACTCTTTTTCCAGATATCCTTGAGCATTTTTCATTCCGTCATTACATTTCTCTACACAATTCTCAACGCTCTCGCGTGTCACTTTTTTGTTGTCACAGCATCTAAAAACAGAGGAAATTTCGAATTTTCAGAGAGTTAGCCAATTTTGGTGTTTTTCCCAATTTGAAGCTTTCACAAACCTTGCAGAGCACTGGAACATGGCTTTCTGCATATCCCTGAGATAATTCTTGTCCAAATCGTCAATCATCTCGTCGACCGCCAATTTCACCTTCATTTGAGTATTCTCCATTGTCGAATTGGACATATTTTTACCCTCTGAAACGGAAAAAATTGAAGAAAATGACGAACGGTTTTAGAAAACACTACAAGAAATCGAGAAAAAAGTATGCAGAAATTAGGCCGAAATTGGAAAGCTAAAGAAATTGACACAAAATTAAATTTTCGTATGCATACAAATATTGAAAGAATGAAGAAAATTTCCGGAAAAAGTATTAGAGGTAAGAGAAAAATGATGCAAGACTCTTGCAGCAAGAGGAAAGAAGAAGAAAATATGCTAATCTCCGGATTTCCGGATTTTTTTGGTCAATTTTTTTTGTATAGAAATGACGGCTTATATTCTTGAAAATTTTAACTTTTTTTCTGGTTTTCAATGAAAAATTTGAGATAAAAAACCTAATATTAATCACACAATGAACGATCAAAAATTGGGGGAAAAATGGAAACATGTTTTCACCTGCACGAGAAACGCGCAAAGAGATAAGCTTGCGCAGAACTTGATACCTGGTCGCAGGTCTGAGACTCCACCGATTCCGAGGAAGGGGTTGGTCCGAGGAACCGATTCCGAGGAAATCGGGGCGGAGTTTACTTTGCAACT